TTGTATGGTCATTCGAACACCAATCCGCTTTTGAGGAGTTGAAGAACAGCTTGCTCAATTCTCCAGTACTCGCTTTTCCTCGTTTTGATAAACAGTTCAGATTAGCAGTGGACACATCAAGCCATGGTATTGGGTACATGTTGTACCAATATCACAGTGATACCGACACAGAATCCAAGATTCCGCATGTAGTACGGTTTGGATCTAAAGCCCTCTCTAAGTGGCAACGTTCCTATGGTCCGACAAAACTAGAACTATTAGGTATGACAACAGCCATCCTGGATTGTGCTTCATACTTACGAGGAAACAAGTTTATTGTCGAATGTGATCATCAAGCACTCCGTCCGCTGTTTCAGCAGAAACTCAAAGGAGCCATTTATGAACGTTGGTTGACAATTCTACAACAGTTCAATTTCGACATTGAATACAAACCTGCAGCACAGATGGTAGTTGCGGACGCATTATCTCGTTGTATGCCACATACAAATAAGGTCGATTTCCAAAGCCCAGATGAGGAAGATCCACATTTTCCCTATGTACCGGAATCTACAGGACATATAAGGCTACCAAATGGACGACACATTGAAGAGTTGCTAGGCAACAGAGACAGTGACAGAGCTAATGATACTGAAAATGACAATTCTTGTGGTAATACAAACAGTGGTACAGTGAACATGGACAAAAATGTTGTGAATTCTGTTGCCATACCGTTACCCATAGTACCCATGAACACTGACATTGATTTGGGGTATGACGGAGATACTGATGAGTATACAGTCCAAGGTAAAAGGTCAGGTGTCAAACGTCACCGTCATGTTAAGCGTCAACGATCTATTGACAGTAAGGAGGTCAAGCTAGATGACGGTCATAAAGCTGATCTTAGTCAAGTCAAGGAACCAAAATCTCGGAAAAAGCAACCCAGATTTATGGGGAGTGCGTGGGAATGCAGACTCCAAAGTGTTACTGAATCTGAACGCGAGTGTATGATATCTGGATGTCATTCCGACACTGATTGTGTTAAGACGACCCCTACTATCTCTACACTTCCTACTTGTTACTCTACGGTAGACGACAACTCAGACAAGGCTAGCACAGTTACTGAAAACCCAGTTACTCAAACATCTAAGGACTCTTTGGAAAACACAAATGTTTCTGATGTTACAACAGACATTGACCAAAGGGTAGATGTATCACAGAGTTATATCAGTACAGAGGTTGACACAGATGTGAAGTCGTGGTTTGATAAAACTACAGAGATAGACACTACAAGTACTTTGAAAAGTGATTCAGGGGACATAACTCTAGAACCTACTGATTCGGATAATCAGGAGCGTTTACAAAAGAGGCTAGATTCGGTTTCTCGGATTAACTTGACAGACCAACAAATCAGGGAGTTTCAGAAACTAGATTCAGGTTTAAAGCCACTTATTGAATATTTACAACATGGAAATCTACCAAATTCTCAAAAATTGTCTCGTCAAATTCTGTTGGAGTCCAGTGACTATCTTCTAGTGAACAATATTTTGTTTCATTCTCGAGTGCCTAAGTCAAAGCGAGCTCAACATCTAAACCCATATCAACTTGTGGTACCTGAAGTGTTACAAACGACAATCCTTGATTTGTACCACAATTCACCGCTTGCTTGTCATGGTGGTATCCAGGATACATTGGATAAAGTCAAAGAACATTATTTCTTTAAACGTATGCACACTGTCATACCAAACTATGTACGGTCATGTAATGAATGTCAGCGTAGGAAAATGACACAACGGCACACAAAGAATGGTATGACAGCGTTCCCTTCCCCTCATGCACCATTTCAAGTGTGGGAAGCAGATTTATTTGGACCTTTACCAGTAAGTTACAGAGGCAATTCATACGTTTTTACAGCAGTAGATATGTACAGTAAAATGTTGGTGGCTACACCAATCGCAGGAAAGGATGCGTTATCAGTGGCTACATCAATATACAACATGTTCACACAGTATGGTGTGTGTGACACTCTCATCACTGACAATGGTTCAGAGTTTACAGCACAAGTTACAAAGATAGTATGTAAATTGTTGGGACTCAAGCAGGAATTTACTCCACCTTATGCACATCACTGCTTAGGGGCTTGTGAGAGAACTCATGCTTCATTAGCTGTACGTATGACGACAGTACTGGAAAAAGATACTCGATCTTGGGATGAACACGTGGCAGGAACGGTTTTTGCTATAAACTCTGCAGTTAACGCCAGTACAGGATACTCACCTTTTGAAATTGTGTTTGGAACACGTCCTCGTTTCCCATTGGCACCTTGTCATACTCAGCTAGGAGGTGTTCCTGATGATCTTCAAACTTACCTGAAACACTTTATGGAACGGTTGGAAACCATACGTACAAACATGTTGGAAACGGTTGAGAAATCTAAGGCAACCATGATTGATAGAATGAACAAAGGTGTGAAACAATTACAACTTCAGCCAGGTGACTATGTTTATCGTTTACATGACCCCACAGGTCCAGGGCAGAAACTGCAGGACAAATATGATGGTCCCTTTGTTGTTAAGGAAATCTGTTCCGAACATACCGTGAAACTGCGACATCTGAATTCTCAAACAAAACTGGATTCTCTTGTTCATATCGAACGACTTAAAATGGCATATGTGCGAGAACCCCATCCATCTCCTTACTTTCTGGGTAAGGTAGTTACCAATGAGCAAAGCCGTACTCGTGTACATGTCTCAACGCAGACCTTAGAACTTGTAAACAGCCAAGAGTCTCAAGGTTCATCGGTTGGTTCAAGATCAGAGGAACTTTCCTCGGAGGACACTAATTTGGACGTTCCTTTGGGAAGACAACAGCAACTTTCTCGTAAACGTCGACAACTGCCTGCTTTGCCTCAGCAAGTTGAATCTGAAGCTGCAGATTTGCCTTCACTAACCAGACCTCGTCGTAATGCGCCGAAACCAAAGCGATATTGCAGTGATGATAATGTGAACACTTTCTCTTCTGAGGTCGCAATGGACACAAATGATGTGTATTATAAAGTTAAGAAAGTGATAGGGCAGAGAAAGCACAATGGTGTTATTGAATATCTGGTACATTTTGTAGGAGAATCTACTCAAAATGCCATGTGGGTACCATTTTCTGACTTGAACGCAAATGTTAGAAAGGCTGTACAGAAAAATCCGCCACCCACTCTGCACTGAACTGGTATATTAATAATGTACATTTATAGAGACAGTTCAAATTTGATACATGTTAATGTGATGACAAAAATGTGTTTTTGTTTAATCAGTTGTTTCTTGAACTTTCTGAGTTGCATGTAATTTTTGCATTTCAAACTCAAAGTGTTTGGTTTTTTAATTAGGGATATCCTAAAATGTTTGAAAATGTTGTATAACAATGGTAACACTGATATTTGGTGTTTGATATAATTGACATTTTCTATTCACCATATTGTATTTGAGTGAATTTCACATAATCAAAGCATATAGTTTTCAATGATTTATGAACTGTTGTTTTCCACAGCATACAGTAACAATGTTCATTTATTTACACCATGAGAATAGTATCCAATTTTTAAGAATTTTTTCATTTTTGTGAGTTCAATACATGTTATGAAGTTACTGAGTTTTATGATAATCAACTCACAAGATAATTGTATTTTGGATGGATTTCATAATGGTGAACACTGAACAATGACCAATTCTAGTAATGATCATAATTCTGCAGTTTTTCCAGTGACTCATCTACAAATTTCATTTTGTTCAATACAATATATGATGTAATAAGATAATGTAATGTGACTTAATTCCTATATGCATGGTCATAAGTTGATAATACTTTGATATTGTTGCATATGCAATTATTTTTTTTTAATATCTTGATTTTGAATATGTCAATCTTACTTTCTGATGTTTCTTTTGAATGCAATAATGGAAATTGTGGTATTATGCTGTTCAGCAAATTTGGACTATATATTTGGTCAAATGTACATGTATTAAGAAATATTCATTAAATGAATCAATTACAATGTGCTTGAATATAAGTCTTCAGATTTATGTACTGCAAGAGTAGATAAAGGATACTAAGTACTTGAGAAATCTTAGTTAATGTTCATCACAATTTTGTCCAAATTGTTTGCATATAATTTTTGTCCTTGTATATTTTCAGACACCAAAAGTAGTTCAGTTATGAAAATATTGCTTATTATCACAGAAGCTCTGAGACTATATTGTATTAATTCAAATGATAGTGAATTATCTTCCTTGTTTCTAAGTGAGCTTGCTAGTATTTGCTAATATATGTCAATGCTTTTGCCATATTTTCTCTTACAATTCATGTTATCTCCATACCCATCAAAAATTTGGTTGCAAAATTTTGTTTTGTGGGGGGATATTATGTATGTCATTCTATGAAATACATAAGGAAGGGGAGGTAACTGTAATTCTACTTTCACTTTCACTTTTGTTTCTAACTCTCCTAAATAGGAGGCGGAATTGAAAAAAGTTGAATAAAATAATAAAAATGGAAGACGTGCTTTGTCCTTCTGAAGCTTTCCAGATCGGTACTCTATGATCCTGGAACACTTATTGAAGTCAGTTTTCCTGTTTTATGAAGAGAAGACGTGGGAGTATTTAAAACTTGTAATCTATTATTAAGTATTAATATTTTAGTCAACTATATACCTTAAGTCTTCTGGTTACTTCTGGTAGACAACATTATGATTCTTTTGCCATTCACTATCTTCCAATTTTTATAATTTTAGAAAGTAGAATTCATGTATTTTACATGACATTTGATATCAGATTATTAAGATTTCCAGGATGAGGGATGGACGACTTGAGGTCCAATCACTCTCGCACTTCTCCCACCATTGGATCGGACCATACATGTTCTAGTTGCAATACAATTCCTTCCAGTACTTTATTTACAGTTTAAAAACAAAAAGAAAAAAAGAAAATGAAAGTCCTGGACAAAGGAACAAAAACCATTTTTCAACATTTCCTTTTTTCTGACTTTTATTTCGTTCTATAAATAGATGACAAATATAAATGTACAGGCACATTGAAATATAAGCAATGATATCACAGTTAAGGGTCTGAATGCAAACAGATTCTTAACGGAATTGATCATATCAAAGATCATCTTAGTGTGTGGTGAATTGCAAAACTTGCCTTTCAGGAAAATTTTCAAATTCCTAACAAAAAATCAACAAAAAAGTAATTATTCAAGCAAATTGTGTAAATTCTCTTTGATTTCTGAAGTGTGTAATTTGACCTACATGTTTAAGATAAGAAATGCCTATCTGAAAAGTGTGGTATGATTAATAAAAAAACTGTTTATATAGAATAAGCATTACTTCTTAAAATAGTACTATTGCATTTTCAGTCCATTTACAATTCAATTAAGTCAACATACATTTATATCAATTTTCAAAAATGTATATCAAATCATATTAAGAAAACATGGGTTTAACAAAGAGATATTTCATGCAAACTTTTTAATCAATCTTTTATCTTTTTGATTGTACATTCCTCATATCATAGGTAATGGCTTTGTAAGTTTCATATCATTGTACACTGTGTAAACAAGGCTACCTATATCTAAAATATTATACCATATTTTTCAAATCTCCATTCAGTGCTTTGCAACTGTTCTTCTGTTTTTAGCACTAAAGATTATTTACACTGTGCAAGAAATAAATTTAATTTCTAAATTTTTTAAACCTTAAGAATGGAGTGAAAGTCATGTATATAGATGGAGAGATAGCTCTGATCTCTGTTCCTGGAAATGAAAACACTGCTTCAAATTCCTTCCTGTGTCTGAAAATTCCTTTCCTCATGAGGCGTTCAGCTGACATATATTGATATGCTTAAGGGTTTCTGCCTGTTTTTTATTATTTGCAACAATATGTAAACCTTATTTAAATGCACATGTATCTTAAAATTGTTCTATCATTCACATCCATGCTTTCTAAATAAAACAATTGAACAGATCTTGTTGCTTATTGACAATTTTAAATGATATATTTCCACAGAGCTTTACAAATAAACACATTTGTATGATACGAGTCTCATACAGTAACAAATGTTTCCAATAAAGATGGCAACATAGTGTTAGAAAATTAGAAGAGTTCTCTGACTTTTTCAATATTTTTGTTCCAACTTTCCATCCAGCGATCTTCAGCATGGAGAAGCCTCTGTTTTTCATCCTCAATGGATTGTAAAGTGTCTGCAAACTGAACCTTGTAATCCTGTAAACACATTAAAATTATATGTAGTGACAACATGCAGAAGTAGTGATTCACTAATTGTGTACTGGGATGCAGGGATCCTTGGCAAAGCCAATACAAGTAAAACTTTACTGGATGCTAATGATGTTATATAAATTGTATTATAAGTTTTTAATTAGAAAAACATACTGCATACATGCAAGAGTGAATTAGTGAAATTATTACTTAAGTCATAAAAATTAAATTATCAAAATGCATGGTATGAAAGAAATGTACAATTGAGCTGTTTCAATACTATTTTAAATTTTAGGAAGGATCTCAGGTCTTTTCAGTTTATATTCAATAGATATCTTATGTCTCCTTTGAAGAAGGAGAATTTTTCTGATAAGATCTGCAGCTGTCCAGGCCAACTTACATGATAGGCAGAATCACGACCCTTGACAACGGAGCTGTGACCTAATGTTGTCTTGGCGGTAGTCACAGATGCCGTGGTTTGAACCTTAGCCGGAGGAGTTCCAACCACCAACTCATTATTGGGAATACCTGGAATATGAAGGTCATAGGTCAACAAACTGTTATAACATGTCAACATTAAAGGGGAGGGGGTGGGGAGGACTTTGATTGAAAATCAAACAAAATAAAATATCCTAAAATTGATGAAATGATGACAAAATCAAGATCTTTGAAAAATTTCAATTAAAATCTAAGTTTCAATTATCAACTTATTGTACCTTTTACATCAAGGTCAAAGGTTAAACAACTGTCACACAAAACAAACTGTTGTGAACATTCATGAATGTAAGGTTGATTCTTGATAACATTTATTTGTTAACTACCAAACTCGTAAAGTACTAGAAATCCCAATACCTAATAATCAAAGGTCTCCAACTAAAAATCCCTACATTGATATCAAGATGATTCCCATCATATTTGGAGCAGCTTGAAAGAACATCCAAGTTTCAATCACAGATATTAGATAGATATAATGGTCAGAGGTCAATGTCTGATTATAATACCTACCCGGCCACACCGTTTTTCCCCGTGGAAGGGCATCTTTATCATCACTATCCTCCAATGGAAGACCAGCATTTCTCCTTCGGATTAGCTCACTGGTCGGATACTTCTTGGCATCAATGCCTATAAATACACATTAAATATGAGACGTTTTTCATACAAATCATTAATCAATTTATCTGTTATTGGAAAAATTTCACACAGTTCTCAGCCAGATAGAGTAACTTACGTCCTCGTTCAATGTCATCCACTACCAACAGATTGTCGTACTGAAGCAGTTGATTCTCTGATGACCTTGCCAATATCTCTAAGAACCTCTTGGCATGCTCTACTGTGAGATCCTACAAGAACACAGTAGACATCTTATGATAAGGACTGTTATTAATCTCTGTACATTATAATAGATAAACCAGCAAAAGTAATTTCATGTAAAAATGATCACAAAGTTCAATAGTCTTTCAAATAGTAATGACATGTAAAGTGAACAGTTCCCATCTCATTGATAGTGAATCATGAGTGCATGAGGTACAAAATGTGTAAAATTGGAAACAAAGGTTGACTTTCTAGGTTCATGACCAGTATCATGAGCTTCACCAAGCACCTCATATGATTAGGTTTTAAGTTCTAAAGGTATTCAGTTATTACATGCTGAGCTATAATCACTGGCCTTACTTCCAGACAACCAGTGTTTCCGAGTTAGCATTGAGGAGGTAATGATCACTTGACAGACCAGGTCATTTTCCTTCACAAACTACAGGATTCCTCTTTTTAAGACATAAGACCCCTGTACCAACTAAGTTGGTAAAGTAAAGCTTCAGTATTTCACCTGTAATTCCTTGGTGTGTTTCTCCACTGCAGTATTATAGTCATTGTGGCGTTCTGTCTCCTTTTTACACAAGTTTTTCATGCCATCTTCCTGGTGTGGGTGGCCGAGCACTGGTCGAAGTAGATGTTCATGTTCCTTCTGTGTACAGAAAATAAGAAAACTATTTGTACCAAGTCCACCATTAACTTGAAAACATAAAAGTCTCAGATCAGACAGAAATGTTTTTTTTTCTTTTTTATTTCATTCATTGTTAATTTGGGATACATATCCACACTATATTACATGTAGTATTTATGCCAGTCAAGTAAAATAGCTTACTTCAAAGATTTCTTTTTTATCTAGAGGATTTCACTCCTACGACTTTCTGCATTAAAAATTATTATAATCTCAAAAATTTACACATCAAAATATTTTTTAAATATTTTTTTGTTACATAACAAAAACAGACAGACCCAGCTGACAAGATTTGAGGACTAAAGACTCATCACAATAATAACTTATATATACCTGTCTCTTCTCCAGCTGACCAAGGGTCTTAGTAAACTGGTCAGTACAAGTCTGTCTGGCTAGAGTACACTTCTGGATCTCCTCATTCAGCAAGTCCTTTATCACTAGACTAGGAATATGGGCAACAGAATGTTCTAAAGTGGTCAGCTGACTGCGATACTCTGTATGAAAAAAAAAACAAAGACATTTACTCTATGTACAATTACTATTCATTATGGCTGTCCTTAGAGAGCAATGTGTTTGAGATGCAGCTTAAAGTTGTACCAAAATTACAGAAAATCTAAGATATATCACTGGAGAAGGATAATATCCTATAAGTCAAGCTTACCTTGTAAACACTGGTTGTGGTACTCATCTGCCTGAGTGAAGTAGGAGGACAGTTTTTGTGTGATAACTTCAGCAAACTGGTCAAAGTTATCCTGAAGGGCCTGTGGTCGTGTCACCATGCGATTTCCCTTCTGGCGATAGTACATCTAGAAAGCAACAGAAATTTTTCATGAAGTTAATTAAGTAAAATTTTATTTTATTTATTTTTTTTTTATTTTGTTTTTAGTTTTTGTAGCTTTGCTTTGTAGTTTTTTTTCTTTTTGTAAGAAAAAAGGGATAAAATAGGATAGAACCCTGGGGTCAGTACCAAAGGATGATATAGTGTCTTTACACAGGATGCTGATATACTTTGAATCTCTTTCAAAATGACATTCAGATGTATAACTTTCATGTCTTAATATTTTCTTCATTACCTCCCCTGATGTAAGGAGTCCATCCAGAGCCTCTCGAAGCGTCCTTTTAATGATGCCCAGAAGATGATTCTCCTCGCCTTCTTCATCTTTCTCTCCAAATATCAGGTACTTTCTGTCAAATTTGGTTGACTTGCTACTCCTTCTCAAACTATAAGATTAAATTGAAATTCATAATTATATATATACTTTATATAAGCATAAAAGTAAACATTTCAGAACATCATATGTGAAATTGACACAAACCAGCCATAGTGTAATAGTGATAGATTGAAACATAACATCATATACATACAAAGTATTTGTCAAGGGAAGTTTTATGACTAAGCATTTGGGATATCCATACTTATTTGAACAAGAACAAGATTATTTGAAATCTCTGATCAGGGTTGGCAAGGATCATGCAGTTTAACGAAATAACCAAAATGGTTAAAGCAAGTTCAAATTAAAAGGGGAAGACCAGCTCATCAAGATAATCTGGTCAGTTTACACAGGTTTACCAGGGCAACTAGTACATCAAGATAATCTGGTCAGTTTACACAGGTTTACCAGGGCAACTAGTACATCAAGATAATCTGGTCAGTTTACACAGGTTTACCAGGGCAACTAGTACACATCAAGATAATCTGGTCAGTTTACACAGGTTTACCAGGGCAACTAGTACATCAAGATAATCTGGTCAGTTTACACAGGTTTACCAGGGCGACGAGTACACATCAAGATAATCTGGTCAGGATACACAGGTTTACCAGGGCAACTAGTACTCATCAAGATAATCTGGTCAGTTTACACAGGTTTACCAGGGCAACTAGTACACATCAAGATAATCTGGTCAGTTTACACAGGTTTACCAGGGCAACTAGTACACATCAAGATAATCTGGTCAGTTTACACAGGTTTACCAGGGCAACTAGTACATCAAGATAATCTGGTCAGTTTACACAGGTTTACCAGGGCAACTAGTACACATCAAGATAATCTGGTCAGTTTACACAGGTTTACCAGGGCAACTAGTACTCATCAAGATAATCTGGTCAGTTTACACAGGTTTACCAGGGCAACTAGTACACATCAAGATAATCTGGTCAGGATACACAGGTTTACCAGGGCAACTAGTACATCAAGATAATCTGGTCAGTTTACACGGGTTTACCAGGGCAACTAGTACTCATCAAGATAATCTGGTCAGTTTACACGGGTTTACCAGGGCAACTAGTACTCATTAAGGCAATCTGTTCAGTTTCTAAAGATTTGAAGGGGAGACAAGTTCATCAATAATCTGGTCAGTTTACATAGGTTTGCAGTTGTTACTAGATCATCAAGATAATCTGGTCAGTTTGCACAGAATTACCAGGACAACTAGTACATTATGGTCAGTTTACATAGGTTTACCACGGGAGAAAATGCATTTAAAGAATCTAGTCAATTTACACAGGTTTACCAGGACAACTAGTACATCATGGTCAGTTTACACAGGTTTTCCAGGAAAACTAGTACATCATGGTCAGTTTACATAGGTTTACCAAGGGAACAAGCACATTCAAAGAATCTGGTCAATTTACACAGGTTTACCCATCCAGGTAATCTGGTCAGTTTACAAAGGAGTACATAGGGAAAGAGTAAATCCAGGTAATCATGTCAGCATATGTTTGGGTTTTTTTTCAGGGAACCAGTTCCACAATTTTTGTGAGAGATATGTACACTTTTGAGTATATGTACTTCTTGATATTCATTATCAAAATCTGAATAATTATTATGTGTCCAAATTGAAATGAAATGAACATCAAAGCATCAGATCAGATGTTAATCAACATTATTATCGGTTTTACAATGAAGTTGAAACAATTCGTAGCTCCATTATCCTCACATCAGCCTCACATCCAAACCATATTAGCAGTCAACAATAAGTTGATAGGTTAAGTTTGTTGTTAGATCCTGTCACCAAAATACATAAAAGTAGTGCATAAAAGACACTGCTAGGAAGCTGTAATAGGACCACTACAATCGAACAATAAATTATTCATATTTGACATCATTAATTATTTTATATGTATTATAACTAAGGATTTCATCAATAAAAGCACTATCAGCAAAATATCATCTATTTTTTCTGAAATTGGTTTTTGAGAAACATGAAAAGTTTACCAAAAAAATTTTTTTTGTAATGTTTTGTTTTTGTTTACAAGAATTTGATGGAAGTGGATGTGTTGCCTGTCCAGCAAGGTTTCTGGAAATAAGTTTTATGGAACAATAGTCATAGAATGTAGATATTCATTGAATTTATTCCATTTATATATTAAGATGCGTAAACTTGCAGATTAGATGTATAGTGTCGAAGGAACCTGAAACCCGAGGATAGATCCCTATAGCAAAATTACACACAGAATTAGAATTAATTTTTAAAAAATGCTTATTTGCTCTAAATACAGCAGATTGAAAAGCAATCTCAAACATGCCCCTTTGATAAAGAAGCATTGTAGGAAATTTTAGTCTAATTGTCCAAAGAAAATTCAAGTAATCACACAAAACCAATTTTCTTTTCACAGCTACAGTGACCTTGACCTTTGACATTTTGACCTGAAAAACAATCCCAAGGAAGTAGTTTTGGTAAGGTAGTTGTATGAAAACAAAGGGAATTGAAGTTATTGTGAAAAATTCATTTTATATTCATAGTAACAGTGGCCTTGATCTTTGACTTTCACACCTGTAATGCTGCCGACATAGTAATACCAGTATAACATCTTTTGCAGGCGACAAAAAACTAATTTGATTTAAAAAAAACCAAAAGATAAAACTTTGGATCACCATAATTAGATGATGACACTGATCAGCAACCTATAAATGACATTTTTTTCTTTTTCTGACTTTACCATAATTCCCTTTTCTTTTTTTCTCAAACATACCAACCAGACACATAGATTGACCTAACAAGATTCATATTAAAAGGAACATGATACATCTTGCCAAATAATAATTCATTGTAATTTTCAGAAAAGAATGCTGTTACTTTTGTTATAAATGCTGAAGAGATTTGATTGGATTCCACTGATATAATTACAATAGTAATTAAAGATTAAATAAATAGTTATGTAATGTAAAGGTGACTAAAAGTTTCCATTACAGTTGATATAGATATACGTTAGCTTGAAGAAGTAAAACATGCAATGCACCCATGCATGAATTCATTAGGAATTAATTTTTGTAAGTGTTATACAATGTAATTATTAACAATATTGTGCTTTGTAATCTCACAAATTTTATGCATGCAAAAATATCAAAGTCTCTAAATATAAAACTAAATCTCTTTTATTCAATCATATGTTGGTGTAACTGAAAACTCAGCTTGGAAAACTGAAACATAATTCTGGGACCAAAAACATCTAATGGAAATATATATATATATTCAGAGCCAACAAATTTCAGCTCATTATGTGAATTAAACTACCAAATTTTAAGTCTTGACATTTTATCAACCACACAATATGTTATTCTCACAAGACAAAGGGTTTTGTATGAACCAGTATATCACAGCATTATCAACTGAACTGTTCAACATGTGAACTACATAATGTGAACTATAGGTAGGTCTCTATGGAACTAGTATCAAAGCCTTAATTTTCAATTGTTAAAAATGTGAACCATGGAGTAGCTGCGCAATCCAGCCAAACAGCCTTATCAACAGTTCAAAATGTGAACCACATTCAATATATGAAGCAGGGACACAGATCTCTATGGGAATCGATATCACAGCCCTATTGACTGTTCAGTATATGGACCACAAGGTAGCTTTATGTGTGTACCAACACCACAGTCTAGCTAGCTTATTATTCGTTCAATGGTATTTTGAAGTCTACATCCATAATAATGTGAACCATGCATGCACTGTGCAACATTCCATGTACATAATGATATCCCTTTGTATCAAATCATTTGTGCAGGATGTAATTAGATAATATTTCAAAAGTATTAATGATTAAAATAGAAAGAGATCTAAACTGAAGAAAATCTCATAGAATTAAGTGTTGTCAAACAGATTAGGTCAAATCCTTCAACCACACAAAAACAATCATAGGCAAACTCAAGGAAGAGATGTTGTTACTAGAACATAGGAGAGTTAAAACTAAGGGAGGGAATTCAGGAAACTGTACCGTTGATGGGTTGGTGTAGAAAAGCTTCCGCCGTCCATCCTGCTTACAAATCAACATTTAACAGTAATATTAAAGGGGAAGCCTTGTTAACAGGTTTGGTACAGGTATGATCAATTTAACCACTCGGTTCATAATACGCAGCTTAAAATGAGTTACCATAACACATGATGAGATTTATACATTAGTATTATAACTGGGTATATATTTAACACAAAAATGCATCACCTGTAACAACAGGTAATCACAATTGGCACAAAACACACATTACTTTAGCACAAAGAAAACAACATCCAGATTCATCCACTCTCTCTGCCAAATTCTATTTTACAACGTACATATATTAGATTGGTAAACAGATATTTACACTTAAAGATAAATTTTGCCCTCAATGTAAGCATCACAGAGATATATTAATTTTAGGCACATAATTTCAACACAAACAACTTTTCCATGATCTCCCTTATCAAAACCACATCAGTTGCTTTTTTTAATCTTAAACCAATCGCACCCTATTCCCAGCCACATATGTACTGAAACACCAGTTTATAGGCAAAATGTCTCATAGAGTTACTTACCCTGACTGAACTCTTTTAGGTGGGTTTTCTGAGACCCCCTGTTGGCTCTTGCGATTGGTTTGCTTGGATTTCTCGGAAGGTGTGTTTGTGGACATGGAAGATTTCATCTTCTCTCGAGCAGTCATCTCAACCTGCTGCTGGCCCACTGAAAAAATGTATTCAACAGGTGAGGCATGATCTACCAGAAAATTACATGGAACAATAGGTGAGGCAAGCATGATCTACTAAAAATTAACTCAAACAACAGAAGTGATGTAACCAACACAGAAATAACCTCAAACAACAGGTGTCAGAGGCAAATGATCTACCTCCCTCGAAATTACCTTCAATCAAAATATCTTAAAAAATAGGTTCTGTTTCTGGAAACTACTGCAAGCAACAGGTGATTAATTCACCTTCTACAAGGAAATTACCTATAACAATAGGTGAGTCATCATCTTTCTGGACTTATCAGCAGTAAACCCACACCTACATGTATCTATATGCTTACTCTTTCGTAATTCTGTTCAGTAAAATGATAAACCAATATCTAATTATCTTGTAATATAAGCCCATCTTCTAACTCTGATTAAATTAAAGTCAAAGTATTGCCAACCTGGGCTTATTGCAGGACAACTATGATATAAAGTCAATATATTTCATTAACCGAATAGTCTTTTAAACATTAATTTTATTTTGATAAACATGAAATATTAGGGAAACAAAATTGCTTACTTTGAATAGCTTCTCCATCTAACTCAGCATCAATACCAAACCTCAGTTTGCTTTTCTGTTGTCTGTAATGACAAAGAGTAGAACTACCATAAATATCAGAAAATAAAATACAAAAAAATGTATAAACATACTAGCCCAAATCTATATAGAAGTTTGCAAAATTCAAGATAGACAGTATAGCTGGAAATATTCACAAGGGATTTCCTTTTGATATAGTTGTTATTAAAGAAATTACAAGATTAAATACCAAACAAATACTTTCACAGCAAATCAAAATATCAGAAAATATTGAGAGACAAACATGAACTAGCCCAAGCTAGACAAATGTGAAATATGATATCTATGAAATTAAACAACTTTATTATATTTATTATCTGACATATATGTTTATCTATTTATTTATTCATAATTATCATACTTATATGTGAAATCAACACATTTTTTGTGACTAAAACGTCTACAGTACACAGTCACAGAGCACCTTGTATTAAATAACTAGCCATCAACAACACTTTTCTGTTGAAGTACACATAAACATGTAAACAATAACATTAACATCATTATGATATCACACAATCACAACGTAGTGTGTACGGAGACATATGTAATACTGAATATATCACCAGAGGAGTCTCAGTAATAAAACAACCCATGTCAGTTCACAGCTTAAACATGCCCTTACCTTTGCATGGGCAATTCAAATAATCTATGTATTGAATTCTGATAGTATTTCTCAGATTTTAACACATAAAATAAAACAAATACATGATCACTGCCACAACAATATACATTTAGTGTATTACAGTGTCACCAACCTACCAAGATCAAATATTAGGTCATGAACCCAATCAAAACCAATAGTGAAGGGATGCTTTCATGAGTCAATGGGTCAAAATTCCTTTAAAGTCGTAACGTAACAATCACATTCAAACATATCTTTATAATATCATTTTTGTTGATTCACATTTTAAATTTTACATTTTTTTCTATGACCTTATTTTCAAAAAAATCTTGCAATTCAAACATATTTCAGAATTATTAAAAACATGCTGTACTTATGATATATCTATCAGGCTGACCTTCAAAATGAAAATATGTTGGTGACACTGACTTTGTGAATGATAGTTACACATCAATAACATATTTTTCATTCACATTTAACATGAGTACTGTTACTTCTTTCACGGACCAATTTCATTAAACAAAATTACAGATATTTTGGAGGGCAAAAGAAGTATTCAGATTGAAAAAGTTCTCAATATAAATGAAAATGTCCAGTTACGGAATTTTATTGCATTTCACAGATAAAATTGACAATTCAATATGACAGCACTATAAGTATACAAATTACATGTACATCTTGACCACAATGAAATCATCCTAAACTGTCTGTTAATTAGCTCCAGGGATCTTCATAATTATGAAACATCTCAAAGCTGAGGAAAATCTCAGAATTTGAAATGTAATATATCAATAAAGCCTGGCAAATTTACATAATGGATTCAAGAGCTTGTCCATAAAACATGGAAACAGGACAAGACACTTTAATCCTTGGTCGTAATTATCCTTAACAAACAGGAGGCAATGTTCATAACAGGAAATTACCAAATACCTAACTTACCTTGAAACATCTCTACAAAGTATCAAGTTATTTATTGATGATAAGTTTTATAAATAATCTATGAAATTTCTGAAATATTTGAGCCATTTTGTCTATTTTTAGGAATGTCAACAAATGTTATAGCTATGTCCTGTCAGTAAGTCCATCACCTGATTCTGATTCAGCAGTATTGTGTTGGCACCATAGACTTATTGCAGTATGAATACAGCAGTTGAATACAAAAAGACAAATACTTCAGATGGATTTTTAAAACAATCTTAACATATTGTTGAAATTAGCTGCAAATTATCAAATAAATAAAATCCTTACATTATACAGTACTAAAAGTTTAAAAAGTTAAAGTCTAAAAATTGTTTGATAGTATAGATAGACATTGCAGTAACACTGGATAGAAACACTTCAAGTTTTCAATGAATTGTTGTTTTTGGGATTTCAGAATAACAGACTTACTTGAGGATGTTTTTGATAACACCCACAGATGGGTCTTCCAGGGGTTGTTTTCCTGCTTTACTGATAGGTGTCGGCTGGACCTCAGACAGGAAGGCTACCCTTGCACCTAAACAATAAGAAAAGGATTAAACAAGTTAGAGGGTATTAAATAACATTTTTATATACTTCTTACAACAGGTTTGAGACATGGACACAAAAGGCAGGAGACTTGGTAACAATTATGGCAGGAGTCTGGATGACAATTGGTTGAAGGCTTATTTACAATAGGCAGGAGACTTACTCACAATTTGTTTGAGACTTGTTTACAATAGGCTGGAGACTTACTCACAATTTGCTTAAGACTTGTTTCCAATAGGCTGCAGATTTATTCACAATTTGCTTAAGACTTGTTTCCAATAGGCTGCAGATTGAGTCATAATTGATTGGAGACATGTTTACAATAAGTTGGAGAATGGGTTACAAAAGATGATTAAACTGGAGACTGGAATACAATAGTTGGCTTAGCAGTGAGATGGACAAATTCAGTGAAAAGAGGTTTGGATATTATGTTGATAAAAGTCTTACCTAGGGCAGGGTTTCCCTGAAGAGCTGATGACGGACGAGGACTCGGATCTTTGATAGCGTTGAGATAAGCACTCCTTGCGAAAAATGCCTCAAACACCAATTTCAGGGACTCATTTAGCTGACTTGATGTGATTTGCTAAAAATACAAAGATGTGTTGTCAATTTCAAACTTCATGACAAATCCAACTGTGACTTTGTGTATCACATTTACATTCAGGCTAAAATGATGATAAACAAAATCGGACACACATGCTCAAAGTCTTATATATTTATATGTCATTATCAGTATGCAGCTGTTTATCTTTCAATGAAACAAAAAAATTAAATATATTTGTTTATTTAGATATATATTTCCTATGTATTATAACACTCTGAAAATACTTGAATATTGTACACTATGTTAGTACATTATTAACAATGTGTATTCAATATTTTCAAATTACTTCACTTGTTCTGTTGTAACAGAACAATCAAATCAAAAATATCTGCATCAAATACAGAAATTACTGGAAATGAAATATCAGAAAATAGAAAATCAGAAAAACAGAACAAATAAAAGATCATTGAAAATTTAAAACCCATTTCCCGAAACAAGCAGGCAAATTTGCAGTGAAGACAAATATAGCAAATATGGTCACTTTATCATACATGGTACACAATATCACAGACACAAAAAGCTTATTTTCTTCTTTGTTCTTTGTTTTAAATGAAACCTTTATTTACCTAACACCTGTTAATTGATTAGCAGTTAAGTATAACATGCAAAACTTGATTATTTTTTTCTTCTTTGATGTATCTCTTGATTTAATTCATAAGTTTAGGTTACCTGTTTACTATCAATTAATTGTTTAACTAGTTTTTGGCTCTGATAAAGTTAATATAATAAAGTAGAAGTTCTTCAAATATTTAACAAAAACTATTACGTATTATCTCACTCAGATTTGCGGACAGAATTGTGTCAAGGATTCAGGAGTTAAGTCCCTTTTTATGAATTGGAGCAGGCGTTTCTAATGAAGCATTTCTGCTTTTTCATGATGGTTGAGCAGGATAGTGACAATAATTTTTACTATCAACAAATTACCATTACCTAATTACCTACCATGTACAATAAATAATATCTACCATATAATTTTAAATATTATTGCCCTATAAACAAATGGATTCTCAGTTAATTATTTTGTACAAGCCATAATGAATGATATATTTTGTTATGAATATAAGAGGGTTCATATTTAGCTTTTTTGTGACCTTTTCAATACATACAAATGTAAAGCAAGTCAAAAAATACATTAATGATAATAAAAAAAACTTGTGATTAGAAATGATTCCAGAAAATAAACTAGACAAGCATGGATCCACCTTTGGCAAAATTTTGCAGAATCAAATTTCCAACAATGGACAAATGATATGTTGATACTGATACAATTTAAAACAACTATCCTACAACACCAACAGATTTCTAAGGGATATAACTTACAATTCAAACACAAAAGCTCTTACATATGATATTGATTGACTTATTTAATTGATTTTCTATTATTTGTCTCTTTAATGTGAGCTGTCCTGGCAGAACTAGGAGTGTAAACCAAAAATCAATACCACCAGACCCTGTTGTTAGGTGCATAGGGGAAACAACTCTTCAATATTGATTATATTGTATACCTGCTACATTGTGCTATCAATGTTAAGTAGGCTTCATTGTAATATTGTTACATGTACACACCTGTATGCGTATCTAGAATACAGGAACAGTAAGTAACACAGGTGTTCTGGTGGACTATGTCCACTACCAAGGACACATCCTGTCTGACATATGTACAATCTCCCACAGGCATGTACAAGTTGTGAGTATTAAATGGTTTTCAGGTATGTAAACCTCAAGAATTTGTGATATCAAACACCATCAGATTCTCTATAATGTAAGATTCGTGATACATGAAATGTATTTGTTACTATTGCCATGATGAAAGCTAGATACATATCAGTACATATTTTGTGCTTCTTTTGATATCAAGACATTTCACACAAAAAGTCAAGTGCACTAACAATTAATTCTAGTGTACCTGAGAGTCTTGGACTTCTCTATTGCTTTCCAGCACTGGCTATCTGTTGAATTTTATTAATCAGTATATCATTCACATTTGCAATGGCTGCGCTAACTTTTACTTTCAATAATCAAACAAAACATAACATAAACGTCATTAGATTTTCTTTTCATTTGATAACTTTGGTAGATTTTAAAATATCTCTAAAAAGATTTAATTCTTTAAAAAAAAAAAGACGAAAATATATATGACCAAAAACAAACCGTTCTTTTCTTTTCACCAGATCTACAATGATTTTAAGCTAATGCTTTCCTATTGAAGATAATTCTCTAAGAGTTGATAATGCAGAGACGTCCATTGCGACCCCACAAAGGGGAACAACACCTGGAGCCAAATACAAATGATGACAAGGAGTATTATCAGTATGGGGGGCCAAAAGGGGCATTTTTTACCAGTGTTTGTTTTGTAGGACTGACATATATAGTGGTGGAAAAGATTCAGTCAGTAAGTCTTATTTAGGTGTTTGATTCAGTTGTAAACAAATTCAAGTAAATAGTAAGCATAAAGAGAGTGATGTGTATGTCACTTATAGCCAAAGGTGAAACTAGCAGAGTTATAGCTTTTTCAAAATCTGTCATTTACATTTTTTTTTAATGAATGAAAAATATTTTGAAAAAAAAAGAGTTAATTACACTGTAAGCTTTACCAGTATATGCTCTACAAGTTTTGTGATCAAATTCAACAAAAACCATCAAAGGCGAAGTAAATACAAGAGGAAATAACTCTGTGCTAGAAAAACTCAGCATGGACATATTTACAATCTTCCACATGAGACAATATTCTCCAAAAGGAAAAAAATACCCTTAATAGTGGAACTCTTTTAAATCATAACTTAATGGTACACCTAAACTTTATCAATTTAATAATATTATAGTAACACTTTCTAAATCAACACGATAGGATTACATTCTTCAAATTGATATATTTTCCAGGGTAAATGGCAGTTGTTAAGACTACCAGAGTTTTCTGGTAACATTAGGGACTGGCTGGATCCTGGAGCAGCAGCTTTGTTCCTTGGCTGGCTTGGGGCACAGTTTGTCCTCTACCTCCTTCCAATAGGAGGACCCATTGAGCTAGGGGCACCCACTAAAGACAATGGTCGTAAACTGGCTTACAGACTCAATGGTGAGGGTACAAAAAAGTCAACATCAACTTATCTTATTTTGATATCATTCTAAGTTTTACAGAATATTTCTCTTTCCTTTCTAAATTGAAGAAATACATTTAGATTCCTTTTAGATTTTTTTCCTATGAAATTATCTATTGATTGGTGCATAATCATGAACTGGAAATGGACTGTCAACTGTATGTTCCTACACATGTACCAGCATTTCTTTGTCAAAAATGTCACTGATTTGTTACAATAAAGCTGTGGGAGAAGAAAGATGAAATAATGATGGGTGATTATTTTTAATGATATGATCCTTCAGAAGAGGCTGTGCAAAAGTTTGTTCCTGAAAATAATAAGATGCAGAGTAACTTCACAAAAAAACTATTTTAACTGGGTTGTCAGGCAGCCAACATTTTACAGACATCTCTACTGAGACCTTCTTTTGAATCTGCTTTGCACCAACAAATTATCTGTCGTCTCAACTTTCAACAAGTATTTAAGGATTGATTTCCTCAAACATTACCAATTGTCTTTAACAGATGAATGCCCCCACTCCTATGCAGACTAGAACTTCAGAACTTGATGTAATGATACTACAGGGTAAATAGTTAATATAAATGAAAACTGTTGAGAGGTTCTTAAGATATGGCAATGATTTGGAACATGGGTGGTAGCAAAAGGACAAGATAAGTTGAGGCAGAAAGGATAGACTGAAAATCCTTTCCCCCCACCCCCACCACCACACCACCTTACTCCATCAAACAAAATGACATGAACAAATCTGAAAGGCATCTTGAGAAAAAGACAAGTCAATAATGATGTCACTGATCCCACTGTTTTGTTTTATAATTGGATTTTATTATTTTTCAGGCTTTTTTGTTTTTATGCTGAATATGATATGTTTGTCGGTTTTTGCATACGTTGGGCTTCGCATTACAATCCTAACACAGATGGCACTACAAATGCTGACCACTGGAATTCTGACTTTCTTTCTTCTAAGCATCATCCTCTACATTAAAGCTATGACTCTGAGGCCTCGGGACCGCAGCCCTTGTGGTCAGACAGGTCAGTTATTAAACAATCTCTGTAGGACTGTAGCTAACTGACCAATGAAAAGTCTGACTAGTAAATCAAGGAAGCTAATTGCGAGTCCTTATGACTACACAGATTGTTTTAAGTCAAATATGTTTCTTTCTTGAAGTGGTTATTTTCAAATTTCATACTTGAATTTTTCCATCATTTTAAATTAATCAACAATATCAAATTTCATAAAGTAAGGACTAGCTATGTATTGACCCAAAGTGAATAATTATGTAAATTTTTAAATCACACAAATGTATATTTATAGTGCACGTTAATTGAATATAATAAAATCTTCACTCATAACATGTGTGATGTTCATTTTACTTCTTCAGCAAGCACCTATTACAATTGGTTTATTGGTGCGGAATTACATCCACGGTTTGGATTCCTCGACTTAAAAATGGTACTCTTTCGTAGCGGGATCATCGGTTGGATGATTTTCAACTTGGTAAATATTGTGGATGCGTCAGAGGCTGGTCACCTTACTCCCTCCCTTCTACTGGTCAGTGGCCTACAGCTTGTGTATGTAATGGACACATTTTGGTTTGAAGCTGGAATGTTAGTATCCAGAGACATTATACATGAAGCTTTAGGGTTCAACCTCCTCAGTCTTTTTTTGATGATTCCATTTACATTTTGTGTACAGACACGATACCTAGCAACAACAGGATTCACTCTCCCATGGTACTGCCTCATCACGATCCTAGGATTGAACTGTGAGTGTTTGATATTTCCGAACTTATGTTTTGATAGTTTCAGTCAACTTGAACATTCCCTGACAGCTAGCCCTGACTGTGATTCAAAATGTTAAATCTCTTTCCAAATTCAACAAGACAGCTAGATTTCTACAAAGTTGACATTATTCTATATCCTCATCTGACATTTAATTCATAACACTATTAAGTTTATCTATATCTGCTGTGTTCATCAACAGCTTTTGCTTTTTTTTCGCTAGTAACTGGATACTGGATATTAAGGGGAAGTAACTCTGAAAAAAATAACTTTAGACGAAATCCAAAAGATCCTGCTTTTGCAAGTAAGTTAACATGAATTTAAGTGAAATATATAATATCTATAATAAAAACATATGTAGTATTCTGGATAACTAAAAAAAATATTTTAGATTGAGTATTGTAATCACATTTCTCAAACAGGTTGTATCTTATTCCTCATATCTTTGATGGTCAATTTCATGACAGCAACATAAGTAGTGAAGTCTTAGAAATATATTAACCACGATTGTTTGTATCTAATGTGAATCTGTTACAGATTATCAGACTCTACCTACCAGAATAAAGGGTAAAAGCCTGCTTGTGTCTGGGTGGTGGGGTTTAAGCAGACACCCAAACTACTTTGGAGATATTCTCATTTCCTTTAGCTTCGCCTTACCAACCGGTAATGTATGACATATAAGTTTGTTTCACACTAATGTATGAAACAACACACAAATAACACATATATACAACTTATTTGAATATAGTGTTTAGATATCATTCATTTATATGCCATTTAAAATACATTTTCATGGTTTCATTTTTTTCAGGTTTTGGTTATTTTCTACCTTATCTAAACCCATTGTTTTTGGTGATGATGTTGGTGGATCGTGAGCGAACTGATGGAGCAGAGTGTAGACAACGTTATGGCGATGTGTGGGATAAATATTGCGAAAAAGTCAAATACAGAATAATCCCTTATGTCTATTGAGGTGTGACAACAGTAATGTGACAATATCTCTATATTTTGAAAAACACATTTTACATTCTGAAAAAAAATAATAAAGCTACTGTCTTATTACACTCAATTGTTTTTCCAAAGAAAGAACAGTATTTATGAGAGAAAATTAAAAAATCTTTCATAGATTTCAGCTTCATTTTTGTTCTTAATTAAAGTGATCATTTTTTTTTAAGTTTGACATAATTATCCTAATCGTTGTTTCCATTTTGGATTTTTAAATATTTGAATATATTGGTATTTAAATACATAAAATCATTGAGGAAAAAAAAGAAAAGAAAATAAGAACTTAAATATCAATTAGTGAAAAACGTCTTAAATATTGTCCTGAATTAGTTTCACAGATATTACTGTATATTGATTCATCACAACGTCCCTTTAATACTGTCCTACAGTAAGAATATAATATCCCACACAACCAAATGATAGATGAGTATACAAGAAGCCCTCTAGGATGGGCAAGTTATAGCTAGGGTCAATGCAAAGCAGTGACATGCTCATCCAACATCTAGAAGATCAGTCAGCGGTAGCCAATCAAATGCAAATTAACAAATGACAATCCAATCATGTGCACTGTTACATTTAACTGACAGATCCTACGAATATCTCATTATTTACTCATATATTTAATCATTCTTATAAAAAGTAAACTTATTTTTTACTTTTTTTTTTTCATGAATAAAAAAGATCTGAATTAATTTGTTATATAATATTTGATTGGCTTTTAAATATTGACTGGAATAAAGATTGAACAGAGAGAATTGGAAATAGTCCATTTCTAAATGTATTACCACTTCTTTCAAGGCGAGCTGCAAAGGAAAATTCATTCAAGTGTTTTACAAAATAAAAGCAAACAAAACAAAAAAGGAAGATCGGTAAAAATACTGCAACAGACTATATAGCCAAACAATTCTAGCACACATTCACTTCAAAAACACTTCAACAAAGTATGATTGAAACAATAACATAGCAATTTATAGGTGAGTGAAAACCTACACACACACACACATAATTAATATGGTGTTTGTACATGGTAGAAAACAACATCCTTCTCATTATATTTTGTTTGCATACTTGAATTTGATGTTAACTGGAATATTCCAGAGGCTCTGAAAATCTGTACCTTAAGCCACTTATCTTTCATTCAGTTGTTCCGTACAAAATGGAGATAAACTGATCTTGACAATTTTTCCCTGTTGATATTTCTAAAAACTTTACTACTTAAAAAAACTTAAGTGCAAGTCATTTTATTGAAATCATAAAGATATTTTTTTTTCCTTTTTCACTTTCTTCTTTTTGGTTTTAATTGCTTTTGGCTTCAATTCCTCCAGAATTTGACAATGTTTATGAAGGATGCTAGGGTTAGGTGTCTTGGATTGACTCCCTTACTTAATTCATGTTTTATTTGCTTCGTTTTAATTTCTACTTTTATTCTTATTCTTTCGCCATTTTGGGTATTCAATTATGAGTTAAGAAAATAGTTTTCATTATGAAAGATATCAATTTAGATAGTTTTACTCTTCCAAAACAGAGATTCTTAGCTTTTTTTGGCTATTTGATAAGAGTCCATAGCATTTGGTTATAATACAGTTGAAATAATATATGTCTGCAATTCAGGAAATTTGTTCAGTAAAAAGTTAAATTAATAGGTACACTTAAAATTCCACTTAAAAAAACAACACTATAGTAAATACAATGTAGTATTGTACTGGAAAACAATCTCTAGAAAAATCTAAATTTCAAAACTACATTGTTCTAAACATTGGCAACTTCACTCATTCACTGCACTAAAATCACTCATGAAAAATTATGTTACTGTAATTCAAAGTCAGACACTATCAACCTATTATACTTAGTGTAATGAAACTTTAGCACATTGAGGTACAATTTGACAGAATTTTATCTTACACCTATAAATTAGAGCATAAACCTTTGGAGGAATCGTCTCCGTGACTGTTATACTTAATTGAAATTAAATGTCAATACAGCTGAAAGAAACTTGACCCAGATCTGTTTCCTTGAACAGGTGCATACTCAAATAATTTGACAATTTGACATTGTGAAGCATGAAAAGGGAAAAGTGAAATATGTTGGTGGTAATTAAGTAATGTTGCATATTACTGTATCAAAGGTCAAAGGTCATGTCTATTACGGTACTTATTCTACTGAAGGGAGAACGCACAAAACTTCCAAATAAAAGCAGGACAGTAGGTTCATTATACATCAAATGATATATATATGTGTTGAAATTTCTGATGAGACTGTTTTAGATGTGGGTAGACTTTATGATCGACTTTTTATGATAGATAGTTTGTTACTGAATAGATGTCGCACATTACTTAAACTGACTCCATGTGTTACCTTAGCAAGTTTTGTAATCATTTGATGTCTTTTGATATGTATATTGCACTCTTGTGACAGAATATTCTTATTCTTTTCATAAGTCCTTACTTCAAAATGTATTATTTTAAAAAAACCCATAATTATCCTTCATAAATTAAGATAATGAAACCACACATATGTCTCATGATATAGTACTTTTACATTTTGAAATGTCTGTTATATTTAAATTCACACTTGTTACTAATTTATACAAAGAAAATTTATTCACATGTCAGTTAGTGTCAAATTTAATTGCTGTATTGAACATCACCTCCAGTTAAGCATCAGTGCTAAAATAACATTACAGCTAAATAAAGTGTATATCCAGCATACAATTCACTGAAATATTCTGATACTAACCTCCTTGTCCAAATTAGGGCGTGCACATGCGTCAATCCTTCGGTCTACATTGTTGAGGTGTTGAGCGAGCTGCTGGGCCTGAGAGTTACTACTGGCCACTTCGGCCTTGATCTTCACCTGTGTGTTGGTCAGCCAGCGGGCAATCTTCTCCATGAAAATGAGGTCAATCATGTGACTTTTAAATCTGAAAGTAGAAAAGATTTTCATATCAATAACAATTCCAGAAAATGTCTTCTTTTAAAATGTGTACTTAATGACACATGTACATATTTTCAGTACTGCAAAATACCTAATCTTTAAAAAGGCACTCTTCATCCATTGATTCATTAGTAACTGTTGAAATAGGTATAGGGAGATTTAATGAGCTGTATTTTCACTAAAAATCAAGTGCCCACAAAAAATTATTTTCTGAAAAATCACACAAATTGAGTCCCATGAAAATAAATACAAGTATTTTAGGGTAATTTTGTCTGGTTTTGTTAAAGGATTTTTTTTTTCAAAAATTGATTCAACTTACAAATTTAAGTGAAACAGGATAAAAGCTATCTTAAAACCAAGATTTCAATATCATCTAGAACATTACCATAAGGTAATAATTAAAATACCTGTCTTCAAACTCCATTGCGACTTTGGTGGCCTGTTCCAAACGTTTGGATTCCATGCCCTCTAAATCTGACATAATGGATCCTTCAGCTGAGTCAATCTTGTCGGACATCTTCTCCAACTTTTTACGGTAATCATTAATTTCTTCTGGACAAAAATTACCTCCATCTGAGAAAACCCTACAAATCAGAAAAAAATTACATAAGGACTGTGATTGTTAAATTGCACAAATCCACTAGCCAGATGTCTCAGACTAGCAGACACAATGTTAGCTATGGCTTATGAATATTTTCAATTACATTGTATAAAAGTGTTAGGAAATTAAGGTTATATAGGTCCATTTCTTTCCCAAAATTTGTCAGTGGACTTATTAAATATATATATGTTAGGATAGTGTAAGCAGGATGCACAGATGTGTCATCAAAGCAATATGTTAATACATACACTCCATATGACAAAGATATAATCATCAATGAAGGACAAAACGGGGATAATAATCCCAAGGTAGACTCTATGAGATATACTCTAGCTGTCTGCATCATTCCAAATAAAAAAATTTAAAATCTATTGTTATATTTGTATTGTATGACATAACACTTGAAGAAAACTTGCCAGAATATAAGCATTTCAATTAAACAAACCATAATCATCCCTATGTTATCCTTTGTAAATATCTGTTAAAATCTAAATAATGTCTTATAATTAGTTTTTTAGTGGCTCCAGTGACTTACTTGAATGACTTAATAAAGCGAGCATTGGACTCTCGTAACATCTGCAGGGTCTCGTCTAGTTTCGTGCGAAACTCTCTAAGAGAAGTACGAATGATGCCCATGAATTTCTCTAACTCCACACTGAGCTGGTTCTGAAGGGAAATCAGTCTGAAAAAGACAGATATTCAAAGAATGATTCATATATAACAATACATGGAAAGTGATAAAAATACATTCTGAAAATCTGAAATATAAGACCAGAGATTTCTTCACAACATATGATTATGTTAAATCAACTAATGATAACGTTAAACAAAAGCATAAAAAAACATATCTCCTTACCTTGATGATTTTGTAGCATTTACAAAGACAGTCTCCAGCGACTCAATATCCTCTCTAAATTTGCCTGCTAGTTTGTTGTGTTCAAGTGTCATCTTGGTGAACTTCTGTCGCTGGTCATTGAGAGCCTGTTGTATCCCCTTGGTGTGCCTCTGTACACGCTCGGAATGCATCACCAACTCCGCTACAAACATAATTCTACAGGTGATACAGGAACTTGGTATGAAGCATCACAGAAAACTATATCATGTTCTTCTTTCTTAGTTTAAATTACTAGCAAACCCAGCACAAAATGCTCACAATATTTTTAGTCTATGTCTAGACATTAAAATTGCTTGTACTATACTGACCAGCTCTGACATTGTGTACATCCAGTTCTGCTCTCCTAGCACGAGGTTTGTGGAGATGCAGTCTAAGGTCAAGCTCACTGTTCAGCTCCTCACACTACAAACAGAGCAACAATGAGTAATGAGCAAAAATGAGTCTAAACCGATACAAGTGATGTGATGTAAAAGTGAGTCTAAACCGATACAAGTAATGTGATGTAAAAGTGAGTCTACACCGATACAAGTACATGTAATGTGATGTAAAACTAAACCGATACAAGTAATGTGATGTAAAAGTGAGTCTAAACCGATACAAGTAATGTGATGTAAAAGTGAGTCTAAACCAATACAAGTAATGTGATGTAAAAGTGAGTCTAAACCAATATAAGTAATGTGATGTAAAAGTGAGTCTAAACGATACAAGTAATATAAGTAATGTGATGTAAAAGTGAGTCTAAACCAATATAAGTACATGTAATGTGTAAAAGTAAACCGAATGATGTAAAAATGAGTCTAAATATAAGTAATGTGATATAAAAGTGAGTCTAAACCAATATAAGTAATGTGATGTAAAAGTGAGTCTAAACCGATACAAGTAATGTGATGTAAAAGTGAGTCTAAACCAATATAAGTAATGTGATGTAAAACTAAACCGATACAAGTAATGTGATGTAAAAGTGAGTCTAAACCAATACAAGTAATGTGATGTAAAAGTGAGTCTAATCCGATACAAGTTATGTGATATAAAAGTGAGTCTAAACCGATACAAGAAATGTGATGTAAAAGTGAGTCTAAACCGATACAAGTAATGTGATGTAAAACTAAACCGATACAAGTAATGTGATGTAAAAGTGAGTCTAAACCGATACAAGTACATGTAATGTGTTGTAAAACTAAACCGATACAAGTAATATGATGTAAAAGTGAGTCTAAACCGATACAAGTAATGTGATGTAAAAGTGAGTCTAAACCGATACAAGTAATGTGATGTAAAAGTGAGTCTAAACCAATATAAGTAATGTGATGTAAAAGTGAGTCTAAACCGATACAAGTAATGTGATGTAAAAGTGAGTCTAAACCAATATAAGTAATGTGATGTAAAAGTGAGTCTAAACCGATACAAGTAATGTAATGTAAAAGTGAGTCTAAACCAATATAAGTAATGTGATGTAAAACTAAACCGATACAAGTAATGTGATGTAAAAGTGAGTCTAAACCAATATAAGTAATGTGATGTAACAGTGAGTCTAAACCGATACAAGTAATGTGATGTAAAAGTGAGTCTAAACCGATACAATATAAGTAATGTGATGTAAAAGTGAGTCTAAACCAATATAAGTAATGTGATATAAAAGTGAGTCTAAACCAATATAAGTAATGTGATATAAAAGTGAGTCTAAACCAATATAAGTAATGTGATGTAAAAGTGAGTCTAAACCAATATAAGTAATGTGATGTAAAAGTGAGTCTAAACCAATATAAGTAATGTGATGTAAAAGTGAGTCTAAACCAATATAAGTAATGTGATATAAAAGTGAGTCTAAACCAATATAAGTAATGTGATGTAAAAGTGAGTCTAAACCAATATAAGTAATGTGATGTAAAAGTGAGTCTAAACCAATATAAGTAATGTGATGTAACAGTGAGTCTAAACCAATATAAGTAATGTGATGTAACAGTGAGTCTAAACCAATATAAGTAATGTGATGTAAAAGTGAGTCTAAACCAATATAAGTAATGTGATGTAACAGTGAGTCTAAACCAATATAAGTAATGTGATGTAAAAGTGAGTCTAAACCAATATAAGTAATGTGATGTAAAAGTGAGTCTAAACCAATATAAGTAATGTGATGTAAAAGTGAGTCTAAACCAATATAAGTAATGTGATGTAACAGTGAGTCTAAACCGATACAAGTAATGTGATGTAACAGTGAGTCTAAACCGATACAAGTAATGTGATGTAAAAGTGAGTCTAAACCAATATAAGTAATGTGATGTAAAAGTGAGTCTAAACCAATATAAGTAATGTGATGTAAAAGTGAGTCTAAACCAATATAAGTAATGTGATGTAACCAAAATAAGTAATGTGATGTAAAAGTGAGTCTAAACCAATATAAGTAATGTGTTGTAACAGTAAATACTGTAAAATGATTTATTTTCATGGAGGATTTATTTTCAGTTACACCGTGGATACTTATAATCTCTCTAAATTTACAAATTCGTGTCTACATACTATGAAATAAGTAAGTATATAATTAGATTCATTGAACTATGTTGATCCACAAAGAAAAATTAATTTTTTGGAAAACCACAATAACTGATCCCCATGAGAATGTATAATTTTACACTAAGTAAACAAGACAGATGAGAACAATCTAAGTCTGTGTAAATCTTTACATCAACATCATGACACCACAAATGATGAGCAGAGAGGAGCACAACTCCTTAACAACTGCATCAGATATGAATGGCAATGGAGATGTTATTATCCTTAAAGTCTATTTCAATATATTTCAGGTATGAAGATTTAAATAGTTGAACTTGGGAAAGGACTGACCTTGGCCACAACCACACTCTCTGACCGCTGCATGGCCTGTTCTGTCCATTCTTCCAACTGGTTCAGAAAATTGATTCTGATCCTGTGAAAAACAAACATCAAGTTTAAATGCACACATTCTTGATCATGACAACAATCAATCATAATTATTGATCTTAGTACTGCAATTTGGTCACCAAAAGTTCAATATCATTTAAATCTCTGCTCCATCTTTTCTGCAAAAATTCCGTAAGATTTTAAAGACTTACATTCCAAGTAATTTACAGGACTCTACACAATGATGTCTCTTTGGTTTTTGTTTTGGTTTTACAGTATAAGACTTCAATATTCTGTAATGCGTACCTGCGTTTCACATCTAGAAGAAGCTTGTCGGGAATGTCTATTGCTCTGATGTATTCTGGCTGGGACTCCGAAGTCTGGGGGGTTTCTGTGAGGAAAAGGGTTTCCTGGGGAGATGAAACAACTTCATCGGCAGACTCATCTGACCCCGGGGGTACCCCATGCTCTCCTGCCACTGTCAGGACATAAAAAAGCGTGCCTTTGTCTGTAGACAATGTCTCAGTGATGGCTGCTGGCAGTGTGCTCTCTCGCTCCTAGAAGGACAAATAAATAAGTTAGCATCTCTGGGAGAAGTACAGGTATGTTAACTTGTTCAAAGACTGAACCAACTGAGTTTTTTATCCTGAAATAATTTTTTTTTCATTGTATATCTGTATTGTAAGTCTTTTAAAAGGATATGAAATATTTTTATATCAAAGATTAAACAAAGTCTTCATTATTTCTACACCTTGTGATTTACTGTTTATTCTTCATGTATTTTCCTGAAAGAAATCACATGATTTAACATACATTCCTGTATAAACAACTCTCAAAGTAAATTGATAATGAAAGCAAAATGAACAAAAACAGAAGAGAGAAAAACAAAAATCTTTTCATCTTATCCTCTGCTGATCTTTCTCTTAACCAATGTCGCTATTCAGTAAATCCAAACATATATTTTCGACCTCTTCAAAGGAGATGAGTCAGGAAAACTTTGTGGACAGGGAACAGTCAGAAAAATTACTACTGGAATCCTTTGTCAAACTTTGTGGACAGGGAACAGTCAGAAAAATTACTACTGGAATCCTTTGTCAAACTATATTATGCAATAAAATAATTTCTCTGCATAGGGCAGTATTTTTAACTAAAAAACAAACACCTATTTTATTTGTTTAGATAGCCAATTGTATCCACTGATTGATAATGTAAACAATCAAATGCCACTTGTGATATAAAGTAGATTGACATGCCCAGAGTGGGGGTACTCTGTTTAGTAAAGGTGGAGGTCAGTCTCATTATAAGTTAGTTGAGATAGTAGCTACCTAACTATTCAATTATTTAATAATACAGTAGGCCTTATATGTAACTCATAACACTGATGTACCTCAGATAATCAATACATTATGTGGGGAGTAAGGAATGACCCAGACAGTCTGATACACAGGGTGGATACATCCCGACAGACCTCCGATTTATATATATATTTCTCACGAATTATTTAGTGACTTGGCTGGCTTTATCCTTGACAAGAATTCAATAGCTGTTTTGGTAGCTGTATATATCGGATATGGTAGAGTCGTGCAAACATGATATTAAGGATAAGAATGATGGTTATTCAGACTGCCCTCATCTGTGTTGCTGTCTGTCAGCTTATATGCAGGGCATTTAAATCCCTGTCAAATTCAATGACTACTGACAGCAAATAAATAGTCTGATCTTTTTCATCAGATTGATATAAAACTGCACTTAAGATTCAAACACTTGAATTCTGACATCAGAAGGAATATATATATATCATATTACCATTTGAAAAGCTTTTTATTTCAATATCTCTTCGAATTACACTTTAATTTATATCAAACAAGACAATTAGTCAAATTTAAAGTGCTCCACAGAATGTGACATCATATGCCAAGATTGCATTGCAAGTGCCCCAGCCAAGTCAGAAGTTGTATTGGCTGGAAATGTATAAGATACAGCCCATACCAACTTTTTATTGATGTAGGTTAAAGGTGAGAGTGACCTGCTTCTGATACAGAACACACCACCTCACCTAGGTATGAAGTTCAATGACATGTAGTGTAGGAGGCAGAGCCTAGACCTGCTTTCAATTCATGACCCATCGCCTCATCAAGGTGAACTCATCCTTAGAGACTTAGAGTATGAAGTAAACACCTATAATATGACACCGGACAAGATAGGGGAAGAGAGCTCCCCTGGTTCCCAGCAAAGGATATTCTGTACAACAGCTCTTTATTTCTGCTAATTTCATTCACAAAAGAAATTACACACTGAAAATCAATTACCTTGCAAAAAACTGCTATCAAAAGAAAAAAAATCCAATCTGTATATGAATATCTCTGTATAAATTTGGAAAATGAAATTACCATGATGAGAAATCAAATCACACCACCCAAATCATCAGGGTTTCAATGGAATTTATTTAAGCTCTAAGTTTGTTTTTCCATTCATTTCATATTGGAAGATTTGTTAAACAAAAACTGAGTCAACTTCATGGCGCTAAAAGCTTAAGAATTCCTTGCTAACAGGGATGGGTTTGTAAACATGAAATTAAACTTAGATTTGTCATTTTTTCATCTTACCTATCATTAGGATCTGACATATTGGAGTCCTTTTAAATCAAATTCTGATTTTAGGAAAATAACAGTGAGCTCACAACTCATGGCATTTGACAAACATGTATCAAATGCGTACAGTACTATATTTTGGAAGAACCTTTGGAAATATTCCACATAAAACCCCATTGGAAATATAAGCCACATTGCCACTTTATGGGCTATCCTATATCAAATGGCAAAAATGTTTTTCCTTATTTTCTTTTGAGTAACTGTATTAAGCAAATAAAGTGTCGTTCCAATTTCATCACTATTTCTGATTTTTAAAAAAAATGATGAAATTCAAATTTCAATTCTTTAGCCCAGTGTATGGTTCTGTACTAAAAAAAGCTATAAAACATAAATTGATTGATGATATACATGAATGTATGACATCCACTTCAGTACTTTCATGACGGTTGGCTAGGATGTACAATAATGTACACGTATATTTTTAGAATCAACGTGATTGAGAACAGGTTTTGCTAATAATAGACCATTGACCCTAAACCATCCACCAACCAATGGATTTACCTGTAGAATTGTTATGCTAATTACAAACTCACTCAGCTGGATCCAACAAGCCAGGTAAAGACTACAGGTGACCTGAGAGTATTATATGATATCAGCACCTATACCTGTCCAGTACAGGTAGACTGTACACTGGAGATATTACAGGTAGCTTGCCGTCTCCTAGCAGACATTATCAAAATACACCAAACTTGTGTCAGAAAAAAACCTTTTATTTTATGACATTGGGTTTGTGAGAAGACTTGAAGGCTGTGGATATATATATCTATATAGAAACAGGTAAGTATAATCAGTGGAAACATACAATATGTACATTTTACCTGTGATATTGAGTTGTATTACCTGTTTAATGACAGGTATAATCAGGAGTACTAGAAACTAAATAACAAACATATTATGTGTATTTGTAATAATATTCTACCTAATTTCATTAAAATGTGATCTACATTTTCATAATGAATCACCCCTATACAGCTTTCTGATTCCAACGTACTTGAAATACATACAAACAATACCACGTACAGTGATATGGCAACAGTAAGAGGTTCTGTTGTGGTGTTTTGAAACTCGTGGTTTAGCACTTGTATAATCCTCATGATATTTTACAAAAGGAATATGACACGAGTCTTGGACAATTTCAGTAGGTGTAGATTGATAACATGTATTTTTCCCTTCTGTATAAATTGGTCTTGCTGTGGTTCAATGCACATTGTACAAAAAGCACCTTTCTGAAAATATCTTATAGAGTATTGTGAAATAATGACTGGAGAGTTCAAACACCTGAATCACGTTTTCCATTGATGTCAAGTGTATAGACCTATTCAATACTTATAAAGCTGTGTATACCTACATGTATTACACATTTCTTTTCTCTGGAATTCAAATATCAGCAAATTAAAGCTATGTATTCAAGGAAAAACAGGGTTTATTTTTAGGAAATGTTTTGATTTTAGTGAAGATATAACAGCAGACAATTAATTTGATTAACTTCCATATGAGCATACCATTGAAATATTTTAAAACAAAAACTATTAAAATGATGTTTTTGACTAGAATGTTATACATCACTTGTTATACAAAAAAAATATTTCCCATGTTCAGAGCCGGATATGCTGAACCATATGGTGTTTTTTTTTTAATTGAAACTCAAATTTTGTAAAGTATAATATTTAAAAATGTTTGTTAATGACTGGTTTACTGGGTCAGACCAATTAATCAACTTGCCTCAGGCGCCACACACAGAATTTACAACATGACTACCTTTCATTGGCTGTTTTGTTATGCAAAATTTACTCAATTTCTTGAATATATATAAACTTGTGTAACTGGGCAGATGGAAATTATTCTTTTTCACATCCCAGTAGGGAATCAACCCAGGTCATTTTGGTTGAAAGACTCAGTAAACTATCTGACTACACCATCCGAACATTCTTCTATCAGCATTTAACAAGGTGTCCTTTGTAATGTATTACAAAGTAAATTTCTATCATGTCAGATACTGGAGCCACACACACCTACGCCCTTACTTTTTTACATCACCTTTACACATGGAAGACCGCAATATTGCCTACATATCACCTTTAATGAGGCCAGGTTACAAGTCATAACTCATAACTGAGATACCCAGTCCGTGTCATCATGAGTTGTACCATAGGTAACACTGTGTCATACGATGCTCACCCATATAGACAGACATGAACATGGATGATTTTATTAGATGAAGAAAAGGAAACTTAAAATCTTGAATTAGAAAACTTTTTTCTCAAAAGAAATAGAAAACTAATGTACTAAACTCACATTTCCACCAATAAAGAAAGGTACATGTTCATCACTGATCAAACTAAAATATTAAAGTCTATGTAAACATTATGTTTAACTACCAATACCACCTCAAGCAAGAATTCCAAACATCATATCAAAATCTATATAAACATTATCTTTGACAAGTCTTCACCCACCCCGAGGAGGAATCTTGGTTGATAAGGACAAATTATTGGCCAACTTCAGCCAAATATGCAAAGTATCATCAACTTTAAATCAAACTTTGGGCAAAAAATTCTTACAATATTGCTGCTACCTGTGACGAGCCAATTCTTAAACCCTTAGACCACTCCAGAGGTTTATGTGCACTGAGTGTACAGAGAAGTGAATTAATTAAATCAGGATTTGTGTGGTAGAGGTGTCAATAAATTCTTATTGGTTGAAGGCTGATATGTGTACCAGACTATCTGAGATCTTCAATATGAATAGATTCACTTTATTTAAGTCTTGCCTAAACAGTAGAGATACCACGCCCTGTTCTTCACCCTCCTACATATTTATCTAGTAACTCTCTATACCTGTCTATTCGCCTAACCAGACAGGAATCACACACAGATCATTCAGACTGAAATATAAATTTCTGTTTACTTATTATGAGGTAATCTTTAGTTAAGCTTCATATTTGTCCATCCCTGTAGTTGTTAATGTGAGACTCGGAGCTCCATGTACGTGTGGTGGATTTAATCGTTAGTACTAATATTGTGTTGGCTATACACATGTAGATTTTTTATTTTTATTTACCTCAATTTATAAAGTAAGTAATACGACCTTAAGGTAAATGTTTAGATACATATTACATAGAAATGGCATTCCTAATGAAATCATTCTAAAATAAATTTCAGTTTACCTGTGTCAAGTAATGTTAAATAACTGTATGCATCACTGGACACACAGAATTTAGTTTACGTAACAAAGCTTGTAGAATCTTAAAGTCCATTGTATTTACGGTATGTGACAGTGCACCATGTTATAAACTGATCTGACATGAAGCAGTGTGATTAAAAAGTCAAAGTGTATGCATGATATGATACATATTAGCAGGATTTATACTGAATTTCCTTAATAATGGTTTTTTCTTTCTGTTTCAGAATTTCTACAGTAAATTGATGATCAAAGTTAAATAAGTCAAGAATGACATAACTGGAAATTAACACAAAAGAAATCAAGTTCAGAATTAGAACCTTAAGGATTTTTAACAATGGGATCATCTGTTTTACATTTCGGGCTAGACCTTGAACATGACATTGACGAGCAGTACCAATACACACCAGGTGAGGTTGTCAAAGGAAATGTGAACATGGAAATCAATGGTCAGACAGCTATACGCAGGATATCAATCAACATTCGAGGGGAGGGTGTAGTGGCCTGGGAGGACCAGGTTAATGGACAATTTAAGGCCAGCGAAGAATACATCAATGCCACTCACATTGTAGAAGAAAGTCGAGATAAAGAACCGATTATGTTAGACAAAGGAAGCCACTCTTTTGACTTTGAGTACAGACTTCCTGACAACCTGCCATCTTCTTTTATCGGTAAATTTGGCAGTGTGACCTATGTGTTCAAGGCTTGTGCCACTGGAGATCGCCCAGGTGACACAAGCATCATTAGTGAACCCTTTCTGATCCTTCGCAGTTTGCCACTCCCAGAACAATTCAGACAAGGTGCTTCAGCAAAGATTGAAAAACGCATATGGAGAAAGTTGACTTGTGGGAAGGTCAGACTAGAAGCTAGTGTAAATCGGTTAGGGGGTACGCAAGGAGAGGATTTATTCATCAACGCTCAAGTAGCCAACAGATCTCCAGCCAGAATCACCGCGATGCAAACCTCAATCATTATGAACACTCTTTATCATGCCCAAAATCGTGCTATACCTTTCCGTCAAATTGTGAATAAGCGACGAGATGAGTATGAACTGTTACGCGGTGATGGACGTCGATGGCAAAATGTGCGTCTGTCCATCCCACCCTACATTCCTGAAACGAGACTGGAGTTTTGTGATATCATTGAAGTCTCTTATACACTACAGTTCCGGATAGAGATTGCAGGTGGAAAAGAATTGAAACTGGAATTTCCATTTATGGTTGGATCCATGCAAGATGGACATGAAATTGTTTCTCGAAACAAGAATCAAATCATGAACCGACAGTGGACATTGAGCTCCAAGTTGCTCCAGATGGGCCCAGACCATGGACTTCCTGAACAAGATTATGACCAAGATAGAGAATGGTACCATGAGAATGTGCCAGAACTTCGCCCAGAAGATTCAAAGGTTATGAATCCCTTGTATCAAGATCAGGACAAAAAGATTCCAAACAAAACTATTGAAAACTTTCAACCCACACTGGATGAGCTACCAGAGGTTATTGAAAATACAAAACTTTGATATCTGTAGTGAATATGTTCCAAAATGGAATGGAAAAAAAATGTAGTTACAATGGACTTTGTGTGAACAAAAAAGAAAAAAAAACACTTACTTTTGGAAGAAAAAAAAAATTATGTTTCAGTTTCAAAAAATTGGATTTTCCATTTGAAACAATGTTTACATGAAAAAACCTGTAAGAATTAGATTTCAGGAACAGGAGGAGAATATTAAATAAGAAATAGTGTGGTTCATACAGATAACATTGTCATAGTAGCACTTAAATAATGTGGGAATTTCCAGGATGTACAAAACATGGGGCATTTCTGTGCAAATCATTTCCATTCTATTACATGTAATTTCCCATCACTGTCCAACACAGGACAGTAAACATCCAGTTTTGTGATTTTTAACTGTAACCAATAAGATCTGTTCATATGAATACAGGGTATCTATGGTGTGTAAACATATCAAATAGGCTTAATAGGATTGAAAAAGATCTTGTTGCCAACTGAAGATACAAAAGTGCTTACAACTATCTCAAGTTTTAGAATAGATGTTATGAAACTCTGCATTACCTTGTAGATAATTTAATTGATTGCCATAGTAGAGCTTAAAAACCGAAATATTTGTGTGTTTGTAGAATAAATTGTATCTGTGAGATCAATATGTATTAATAATAAATCATATCTTGAAATGTATAATGAGTTACTTACTTCCATGTGAATACATTTATCTAAAACGTATTATCGATTAAAGACAATACATTGTGTGTTTATATTGTTGGATTCTCTGATATATCTAAAATACAAGTATATCAAACATCCATTCCAGACACATAAGTTCACAAATTAATGGGATGTAATGTTCATACTAAAATGAATAAAAATATTCTATCAATTCAGCACAATGAATTACACATTTTATCATAAAATTTCTATTATCTTAATTACGGTAAATACACTTAGGTGTATTCCGCAGTACTTTTAAGTGTTGCATTTTAATTAAAATTTTACAATCAGAGAGCAAGATATGTATGTATATAAATAAAAATGAATTAAAGGCTTTGTGAAAACAATTTCCTGCAATAACAACAAAATGATATATATGTATGTCTTTCTGTACATTTAATTTTGTGTATACTGTGTCTAACTTTGTATGGTTCATGATTTTATGTATCTTTGTGCTTCACTTTTTGTTTGTTTTTCTCACAAGACACAAAACAGCATTTTTTTAGTTCACATACATGAAATGTATTTATGTATTTGTTATAAAAATGTATGAAAACATTCCAATCACTTTTCCATTATTTGTTTAATAAACTTCATGTAAGTTTTAGATATCGTGTTTTTCCAATTGGGATAAAAATATATAAAATTATACTGTCTTTATCCTGCAACCTGGGTATCCAAAATTTTACCTCTAGTTTGAAGTTCTTGGGTGGGCTTATTAAAGGACATTGAAATGAGCTATGATCTAGACATGCATGTATGGGCATATTACCAGGCATGGGTTTACTGATAAGTGAATTCTGAAATTGTATAAGTATTTGTCATTATCATGAAATGGTTTAGTCATTTTCTACAGAAGCATTCAATATCAATGCAATTATGTTTATATTTCACGGAAAATTAGTTGTTTGTAACTTAAAACAAAAAGAAAAGGTAAACATGAAGACAATGAATAGAAAAAAGTATAGGTTTAAACACAGGTTCTTTGTTTACTCATTGCCAAATCCAACATTTCAATAATGCTATGAGTTTTAACAATTTCACTGCAGTTAGAATGTAAATCTTTCAGGAACAGACAGTTGGATTTAATAAAAAACAATATATACTTCCAGTATATCTAAAACCTTCCTCTACAGCTGGCACACCTATCTAAAGGTCAACAGTATTTCAAAATCAGTCAATAAATAATTAAAAACCAGCCCAGCACGACTCTGGAACTTGTTTGACATCGATTAAATGTCACTTAGACCTAAATTCATATGATTCTATGGCACTATTTACATTGTATTATGATAGATTTAAAACTTATTTAGTGAGATCAAGACAGAATCAAAGGTTTGATCAAGTAAATTCATATATATATATACTTCTTCAAAAGACTTTTCTGAGATAAAATACAATTTGTAAAGGTATAACAACCATAAAACCCAGGCTAGACTGGGAGAAACTAGAAACATCTGCACTGTAGACAACATTTTATGTCATTAGTCATGTACGTGCACACCTTAGTTACTATCATTCATTGTTAAATGTCAAATCAAGATTTCATGAACAAAAATAGCCTATTAAACTAGACAAGGTTTCTAGGACATGGATGTCCCCACTCCCACATTTTTATTATCAATGTTTGACTTATTTGTAAAAATTTTAATTTTTGTTTTTGACCTTGAACTTAAAAGTCTATAACACGACCTCATTTTCATCTTTTCTGTATAGCAGCTCAAAACTGAAATGCTTCATCCCAATAATAATGGAGGCAAACTTGGCACATTTGGCTTCACTCTATAACAAGATTCAACATGACTATAAAATATTTCAAGATATGATACCCAGCTGTAATGTCCATTGAATTTGGGAATGGGTTTATATCAAGGATTGCATTCAATAAGTCAGGTGAAGTGCAAGATCTGTATTTTCATTCGATCTTATATTTTTAAATCAGTAGATAAGAATGAAATATTCTCTGGGTTTAAATGTTGAGGTCTGGTGGATACAAGATTAACCAAGCTTGATATGTGTTAAACATCAATAGGAACAGAAACAACCTACCAGGAAGTACCAGCCATGTGACCCTGTTTACAGGTGAGAAAACAATATGAAGGATTTCTATCAAAATTCCGAAAAAAAGATGAGATACATAATACCTCAGAAACATTTATGTGTTACCTGTGTGAGTTTAAGATTACGTCCGGGTGTCAATTTCAGTAACTCATCACAAAATACAGTAAAAATAGAAACATTTGAAACATAAACATTATTTGGTTTTGTCAGATCTGAATTGTGTACATCCCATTGGCTGGATGCTGTTTACAACACAGTGAAAACACCAGGTGAAAATACAGAAAAAAAAGTTACCTGGTATGTTGTACTATGTAGTAAATTTACTTTCAATAAAGTTAGAGATAAAACACTTGCTAGCTGTCCATTTACTCACTGTTCCAAGTCAGGGACAGAAGATTCATCAACATCATTACATCCATTATGTTCAACTTTCTGCTAGACTGACTATGAGACATTTATCTAACACATCAGTATACAAGATCTTGGTCTTAATTGCCTAATACAACAAAACAATTCATCTTCAATAATGTGACTGATGAACCTTACAGTTAACAGTGACAGATAAATTCTAGTCTATTTTTCACATTACTTAAAACATTTCTTGTTTATATAAAATAGGAAAGCTTGGTAATAATCCAGGATATCAATATCACTATTTTATTTGTTTTGATGTTTGATATCAATCAATCTTCTATAAACTACCTATAATGTTGTAGTCCAGTGTTACTGTTTAAGTTCCTGTGAAGTGTTTACCTGTTATGGCCATGTTTGTAGTCTGTTATCATCAGCTGTTACAGATAATTTTAGTAAACAACAACACAGCATTTATAAAATGCCATATGTATCCTTTAATAAGCCCATGCCTAATCAAATGCCATCTCACATGTATTGCAGTTTTGATTTGAATACCTGCAAACACAGTATCACTCTCTTGTAAAATGCCCACCTCTTTAAAGTCTTATTTGCATCAGGGTTTAAGTGCAATCCCTGGGCTTATTTCAATACATATACAGCATTAGTGGTCTAAAACTGACGGGGCAAATTAAGAACCATAAACTACAAAAATGTTTAAGACCTCAAAGGGATATTAAAGAGGAAGTTCACATACAATATGGCTGCAGCTATATATATATATATATATATATCAAACACCTCTCCTATTACATCTAAAGTTATCTTGGGAATCATATTCCTACTAACAATAATTTGATGTCTACCTGATGTGAAGTAGATGACAGTATCACACATTTCAGAAGTCATGGCAAACAACATCATCGATACTATTAAAGCTTTGGAGGTAGACCAATGAGTTTTTGTAGTTTTTTGCGTTGATTTTTTTACATACAATGATATCATCAATTTCTTACGTACTGGTACTCTGTCATTATCTTGTCATTTGTATTGCTTAAAGCAATTTGTCAAAAGATCACAGCTGTGATCCAAACAGCTGTCTTCTGTAAATCATATACCATTAATTTGATGTATATTTATTGTAATATTGATTGTCAGTCCTGTACATACCAGTAAGATGTGTTAGCCCTGTTTATTAGGAGGTGTCTACAAAAGATCTACACCCTTGTTATGGTTACAACCTCAATCGTTCTTAACTTGCATTGTCAGCTTTCACATGAAAATCAATATTGAAGTCAGATTTACTGAAGTTATACTGCTGGCCATGACAGCCTATACAAACAAGAACAACAGACAATCACTTCACAAATACTTAAACAATAAATCAGGATATGTTGTTAATGACATCCAGACCAGAACAAAACATAAGTTATACAGAACATGATTGATTGATATCAAATGTCAAAAGAAATAAATCAACATAGTTTATGTTGATCTGAATCTTCTCAAAGTTTTACAGGTAGTTATCACAGTAACACCGTTTGATAATTATCTATCAAACGACCCACTCATCTTATAGTCAGTTAGAAAATAACTCAAAACAAAGGGCTTTGAAAGTATATCATACATAGGAAACTCATAACTGGTCTCCTCTGGACACACATCAATGGGTACTAGCTCATATATCTATGGACAGGTCATCTCACAACCATGGAGTTGCCAGTGTTACTGGTCTATACTGAACACATATCAATGGGTACTAGCTCATATATCTATGGACAGGTCATCTCACGGCCAAGGAGTTGTCAGTGTGACTTGTCTCCTCTGTACATACATCAATGGGTACTAGCTCATATATCTATGGACAGGTCATCTCACAGCCAAGGAGTTGTCGGTGTGACTTGTCTCCTCTGTACACACATCAATGGGTACTAGCTCATATATCTATGGACAAGTCATCTCACAACCATGGAGTTGCCAGTGTGACTTGTCTATACTGAACACATATCAATGGGTACTAGCTCATATATCTATGGACAGGTCATTATCACAACTTCTCAGCCAAGATAACTTTTCAATGTGTACTATAACTTGCTCCTGTTTCTATCAGGAGATAAATCATCCACATTGATCCACATTTGCGAAGTCTATATATAATGGACAGCTGTGGAATTCAAGGTGTCACCCGGGTAAATCCTTACATCAATATATGTTCTGACCATTGTATGGAAGTACTATTCAAGTTAACAGGCAAATGACACGGAACTTACTCATTATTATTCAACATAACTGTAAACTGTTAAGTCATCAATATCATCATGTTGCTGAATGACAGCTGTCTTGTTTAATAAAAATTCAATCATCTTTTTATCTATCCATAAATAATGAAAGACAACTGAAAATATTGATATGATTAAAATGAATTGATGCTGTTCCATGGCCAAAGTCTGTTTGCACATTAAGTTTCAGTTACTAAATGTGAATGATTTCATTCTTTATATATGAGCACACACTGAATATATCCAACCAAAACACACTCTACGCTAAAATCACACACATAATGAATAAATAAAAAAGATGGTGATGATAATTAACTACAACATTCAATAAATATTGTGTCTTCTAACTTTTAAAGAGAGAGAAACAAATAAAGCAATGAAAAGCAAGCTGAGCCAACAACTATACAGGCAAGCAGAAAATTGACACATTTAAAGCAAATAAAATCATGCAGAAAAGGTAACACAATTGAATATATGTATCAACAAAACAATGCTTTATCATAAGCAGTATTTGCCTGTGAACAAGATTTAAACAAATGTGAAGTAAAAGACTTCATCAACTCACAAACCAAACTCTAGACCTACCAACAAAGATCTTTCCTTTCCTTTGAATTTTCGTGGAGTTTTCTTGCCTTTTTTAGAGCGTTCCTCCTTTTAAAGCACAACCAGAACATATGGCTACTTTAACACATTCACAAGACAATATTGATCATCTAGCCACACTGAAGGCAAACAGCAATACAAAAAGCTATAAACACTTAAATACTTCTTAAATGTATCAGTTCAACCTACATAAATACAAATGTAGTAATAATTTGAAAATTGAACCTTAAAATATTTATACGAAGACCTCATTCTGTAAAATACTTGTGGCCAGCTCTCATGGAAAACTGCATTGCATAATCAAACTCAAAATATTTTCCATTTTTTGTTTTTAAATATTTCATATTTCCATTTTTTTTTACACTTAAATATTTCCATTTATTTTTTTATTTATTTTACTTTTTTTTGTGATCAATATTTTGAATCCATTTCCATCAGACCATTTCACTTACTAGTATTAAGTTTCAATAAATATTCTGAGAAATTAGAATAGTACTGCTTTACCAGAATGGAAAGAAAAAGGGAAAACTTCCAATTTAACAATGATCATGAAAAAATCAGACCGAAAATATCAACATTTAAACAAATTATTCCAAAAATCTTTGATCAAATTCCTAATACATGTAAAATATAATCAAACAAGTATAAAAGAATTAACAAACAAATTTTTTATGTTCTGTCAAAGTCATAAAAGCATAATTCACTATAAAATTAATTTGTAAAATGTACTCACAAACAAACTAGTGTTAGATTTAAATTATCATACTTTTCAATAAAAACTCCAACCCAAAAATTTTAATTAATCTCTTTTTAACTATGCCATTAAATAATACTGAACTCATCATACCAGGTAGTTGTATGTTATTTGACTGAACATTTTTGAAATCAGATTTTCACTGCAAGGAGTGTGAATTTCTTTGAAATAAAGAGGATTTTGATGGAGGTTAATGCATTTATGAACCAAAGACAGGACATTTAAACCAAAATCGGTAACTTTAAGTCTGACCTGTTGATGTCTTTTCATCAATGTCTACATAAATATACATGTGAAAGAAACTTGTACACATCACAAAAATTCTGTTAAATAAAAAAAAATTAACAGAAACTCCAAATTCATACAAGCACACCATTAATATTCTATATGCTGATTAACAGTTTTTTCATCTTTAGGTGAAAAGTTGCTGACTAGCATAAACAATAGACTAGCTGTTGTAACACTCTCCTTCTCAAATAAATGACAATGATGATCAAGGTAAAAAGCCATGTACACATTCCTTAAGTACTGCAGCACCAATCAGATATGATAAGAAAAAATACATGCCAATAGTCTTTTTTCAAATTGACAATTTAGAGGGGTTTTTTTCAATTATAGATGCTGCTGACTTTAACTTCCATATCATGAATTTAGCTAGCAGTAACTCCATGATAATAAATGTGATGATAATAATAGAAAATGCAAAAAAAAAAAAGGATTTGGACATTCTATAGTTTAAGTCATAACACAAATTAGAGTTGAAAATACGCAAAAATATTAATTTCTGTCAGTGAAAAAAATCTGTTAGTTTCTATTTCAGTTTGACCACAGACATGAACGGAAACACAACCCTCGCCCAAGACGGGTACCTCTGGGGGACAACAACAGGTACACTTTTTAACTCTACTTGTACAACAACAAACCCTGTGACACCTGACCGAGGACAAGTATCACTAGAATATACCACATGTATACTGTAACAATGTTACCTCCTTACCAGGGGCCCTTATTGTCTGTGACTAAAATCATCATTACATGTGTAGAAAATATCAGTGTAAGATACCATATTATCAGCAATCAGTAAATGCAGGATAGATTTTAATTCCTATAAAAATCTCCATGCATTGGACTGGACACCAACATTCTTCTGTATGTGATTTACTTTCACTTGGTGATTGTGAGAACTCTAAAGTTTACGCACCAGAAAAGTATACACAGACAAACAATATAACCACAATTAAGGTGCAGTATAAAACCAACTGTTAAAACTGATTACCAAATTTTCATATGATGCTAACATTTTAGTGTTACCAATAGAAATGATGTTCTGAACTTTTTTTATCTCAAAAGTATCAATATTATCCTAACTATTAATTTGTTTACCTCTTTGACACGATCATGTACTTTATAAAACACAAACACACGCAATCTAGTTAGTCAGACACCCAAACTAAACATGTACCGAGACCACTGTAGTAGCGGAAGATACCGTCTTTTCTTTGACTAGCACAGTTATAGTGATTTTGGGTTCATCAAGCTGTAAGAGAGATTCAAGTAGTAAACAGACGATACCAAATAAGGGGACAAATTCCAAATAGATCTTTGTGTAATCACCCAACCTCATGCAATAAACAGCAGCTGTACCAACATTATGTACTACAGCTTATGGGGGTTTAAATACCAATCTGGTCTAATTCACTTTGGTCACTTTACCCTGAGCACAATCAGTTGATTGGTTCAGTTGATACCAGCACTGATGTAAACAAGATCATAGAACCCTAGCTTTACATATACAAAAATGGACGACCATCATCAAGGAATGAAGTTGTCAAATATTAAAATTAAAAACTTATGTAATGCCACAAGAAATCTTGTATGGTTCAAGTCATTTAAGTATTGAGATAGAATTTCAGATAAAAAATGATGGTGAAATATTGAATATATAAACATTATGTCAGTAACTCACTCTTTATATCAATAACAGTTTTATCCTTCACACAATGTTGGAATGACTACCTCTCACCCAGTTATTTAAAGGGACACCAGGAAATTTTCACTGAAACTAAACTTTTACTATACTTTCCAAAGTGAAGGGAAAAATAAAATATTCTTATTACTGGTGAAATCCATTGAAAAATTCTCTGAAATGTAATGTGTTTTGTTTCATCTGGAAAGAAAAGTCTACTTTGCTCACCTTTCATTCACATCGCCAGTGAGTCAATATTCATACTGAGAGCATGAAGACCATTTCACTCTCACAAAACGTCAACCTGGTTATCACTTACATGCATTCCTATGAATGTAATTGCCCAACTAGAATATTCCAGGTGAAGTTTAACATTCAAGTTGGACTAAGCTTAACCATATCAACTTGCCACCTCTACACAATTTGTTGACTGTTTGTTTAGGGTGGAATATGCATTACAAATATACATATTTACTTTATTTACAAAGAAATTGGAATTGGTTTCTTTGAAAACCCTTAACTTTTCATACTTTCGAAATAATTTGAAACTGAAGTTTTTCTGGAATATATCTGTACATATGAAAAAGCTTCAACTTCATCTTAAAATTTTCTATTGAAGATTATGTGTCTCCCTTAGTTTGATTTCCATATTTGATGTGATTCTGAACAATAAAACTCGGACAATACTGCTGAGTGTTGACACAAAGCACTATGGATAAAATACATGTGTACTTACATCAGGATGGCGATCGACCATGAAGAATCGACAGACAGCTTGGTCATAATTTTTCAGCTCCTCCTTCACCATGTTTGGATACTGCTGAACAATAACTGCCTGGTCCTTGTGGAACACCTCATACCTGTTAACAAGGGCAGACAATCAGTCCTGGTCATAGGGATACTTATAAAGGAGACAATCTAAGAAGATGCTACAGGCCACATGTAAGTGGTTTAACCAGTGGGACGAGATTTGTTCCACTTTTACCACACTATCGATTGACCTGCTAATCATGTTATGATACTTGATTAGCCCTGACAAAGATGTGTACATGTTATATCCTGAAATACAATTTTAATTTACTTTTAAAATCTCTATCCAGTTGTCCACATAAACCAAATATGATGCTTCATATTTGTACAACCCCACAAGTCTAAGCACAAAATCCTAAAATTAAAGAACTCCATGAACATGAACAGCCATTTGATTGTGAATTTTTACATAAATGTTTTGTATATGCTATAAAGGTTACACTATGGCATGCAAGATTTACAGAAGAATTTACTTTTATTCTTTCAGAATTTGCAACAAGGACTCAAGCCTTAGCCTGCATTATGAACATACCACATAAAACTGAATGCTTCCCACACTACTGCACTGAAAAAATGGTGGACAAAATGTATTTTTAGTTATACAATTGAGACTTACGCAGCTTTGATCTTGTCAAGTTTGTCAAGTGCCTTGTTCAGGCTTTCTTTGAGTAAAGCTTCTGATGCATCCTGCCTCATGCGGTCCATGATAATGTCAAGGTTGGCTTCTTTCTCCTGTGAAATAAATAATTTTATATTTGTGACATGACCAGATAGAGCTTATTGCAGGTATTTGGCTCCTATAGATACCAAACAACTTTATTCATTAGACAATTTGCTAAAACAAGTACAGGGCATATAAACTTATATATGTGATATATTTATACATGTGATTCAAACTATATAAGTACTATAAACACATACAATGTAATGTTTACCTTTACTCGCCTATTCCTTATGAGTAGAGCCTGAACTGTTAGATTTACACAAATCAAGATTATTCACTTTATATAAATAATAAAGGAAAATCATCTACTGACAAACATGAAACATGTGATGCTGTCAAACATTCCAGATAGAAAGGTTACACAAGGCTGGTGTCAAACTGACAATGTTGTGAAAGTCTCTAGATCTCAAAGTCAATTAGGGTGTCATATAGATGATGTTCTCAAACACACCAGTCACTAGGTCCTAAGTCTTGATCAATTATTATACTTGCCTGATTCTGGTTGTCATGTTGGTGGCGACAAACCTCCAGTTTCTCTTGTAGTGCTCTCTCCTGCTTGGCAAGCCCAATCTCATGGACATCCCACACGTGAGCTGATCCTTGGGCATATTTAAACAGGGACCTAAGCTTCTCATTGGACAAATTGTTGTGAGTCTCAAGGGCTCTCTGGAAGTAATGAGAAATATAATGTTATAACTATATAATATTTATGTTTTAAATAACACACAAGCAATTTCCTCAGGACACAAACACAAACTTGAAATTTTATTGATAAAACAATGATTCTATACTTTTAACAAAATGATAAATGTGTGTTTGTGTAACAAACTTACATCATATCAACAAGTATTCAATAGTGCATTTCTTCAAGGATAAACAAACATAAGTCAAGTATTGTAATAATAGGTGTAAATATAAAGTTATGTTCAGAAAAGAAAAAAAAATTAAATACATTGCCATCACGTTGTGAGATACACAACTATACGTACATCCATTGTGTCCAGATTTTGTTCAAACACTCGCTGTCTCTCACCAACAAGGGGAAGTAAGTCATCATCAATCACCTGCTGGACTCTGGTAGATGTCACAATTCCATCATCCAATAGACTTGTCTGGAAATCAAAGGTCAAAGTTCATATTGTTTGAAAAAAAAGTAGAAAACAGGAAATAAACAGATATGTATGTTCTCCTCATACTTAATTAGTTTAGGTAAAATCAGTGCAGTGGAAAAATAGGTCACACTGACCTATATTTGATGTATTAGATTTAGTATTCTCAAAAAAAGTCTCTGTATAAAGTTGGATGACAGTCAGGCTCAAACTAGTATGAAAGTAGTTAAGATCTATTACCAGAAATGTTGGACAAAGACATCAGTCAACGGATGAACAGACAAATCCCATCCCTATGTCATGTCAGGCAGGAGCATTAACAGGGAGTCTTTTCAACATATTGAAAATTCTAATGATAATACCTTGTTATACTGGCAAGACATTTTCTTAACAATAAGGCATCACAATGCAAACTTTATGTTTCTAAATTCTTGGATTTGTAGAAAAATAACATATCATACTGTATGTATGAATACAACTAAAACAGTTTAACCTCTAAACTTTGAGTAATGAAAATATTCAAGTGAAAACACAAACACAATTCCTCTTATGTAGAATAAACAATGATCAAGACTGATAGTTATCATACTAACTGTCAACAGTGATCTGTACAAAACAACAATGATCAAGACTGATAGTTATCATACTAACTGTCAACAGTGATCTGTACAAAACAACAATGATCAAGACTGATAGTTATCATACTAACTGTCAACAGTGATCTGTACAAAACAACAATGATCAAGACTGATAGTTATCATACTAACTGTCAACAGTGATCTGTACAAAACAACAATGATCAAGACTGATAGTTATCATACTAACTGTCAACAGTGATCTGTACAAAACAACAATGATCAAGACTGATAGTTATCATACTAACTGTCAACAGTGATCTGTACAAAACAACAATGATCAAGACTGATAGTTATCATACTAACTGTCAACAGTGATCTGTACAAAACAACAATGATCAAGACTGATAGTTATCATACTAACTGTCAACAGTGATCTGTACAAAACAACAAAGATCAAGACTGATAGTTATCATACTAACTGTCAACAGTGATCTGTACAAAACAACAATGATCAAGACTGATAGTTATCATACTAACTGTCAACAGTGATCTGTACAAAACAACAATGATCAAGACTGATAGTTATCATACTAACTGTCAACAGTGATCTGTACAAAACAACAATGATCAAGACTGATAGTTATCATACTAACTGTCAACAGTGATCTGTACAAAACAACAATGATGCAGATCTACTTACCTTGATTAATTCAATTCTCTCCAGACATTTCTGACACACTCGTTCATATTCATCATGGAGCTTGGCCATATGGACCTGGTTCACTGAATCTGTAACAATTAATACCATGGAGGATCATGTGGAAAAAAGAAGCTGCCAAGTACTGACATTGTAAAATTTAGTACTTAAATATTATTGATATGAAGTTATCAAAACTGTAACATCACTTCAAAAACAAAATGGAAATCAAAACAAAATAAAATTTGTTTAATAATATGGCAATCAATCAAGATATTATAACAATCAAAAATGATTGTCAAGAAAAGATTGTATTTGAATGATGCAGTTGATAAATCAATGCTTATTTTACCTATCTCTGTTGTGACAGCCACAATATTTTTGTTCCACTGATACACTGCTGTTTTGGTAGAGGCTGGAGGCTGCAACTCACTACCACAGAAAAAAAAATACAAGTTCATTGATTTATATATACCTATTTGAAAGATACAATATTCATGAGTGTAAAGAAAATCATTGTGGAGAAATGTGTACAGTTATTATAAGAAATAGAGCTTAAGTCTTTAAATACGAAATTTTTTGTTTCTCCTTTATTCTTATTTATAATAGCAATTTGTGATGCCTATCTAAAACTTACATGGACTTTTCACCATCAAAAGATTAATGCAAAGTGATTTTTGTAATGGGTTTTACTAGCATTTTTACGGAACAGAAATAGAATTGAATGTGTTTATCATACCAGGAGTAGGTTAACTTTAGTATTACTAGGTAAAAATAGTAATCTACTCTTTTAGTTATACTATTTGTGTTTTGTTTTGTTAAACAGTTTAAGATATACAATTTCAGAGATGATAAAGTTTGTTATATTATGAGATGTAAGTGATGAATTGTCTAAAATATACCTAAGCTGTTCAATCAGGTCAGTCCTTCTTTTGTTCAGGATTTCTTGTTCTGCATACATAAACATGAGCACCTTTTGGACACCAGGGGGCGACACTACCTCCTCACTTTGCATGAAGTCTCTGTTTATCGTCAAAATGGAATTTGAAAAAAATGAAAGGATGTCCAGAGGCTAAACGATCTCAACATCATCTGACAAAAACTTGTCATTGGAAAGATACACAGTGGTTACTTTATGAACATACATTTACAAAGATCATTAAGGGTATCACCTCATAATATGACACTATTTATTTAATCATTTTATAATATGACATTTCATAATATGACAATCTCAAGGTCATCCATTGATCAGATACTTTGAATCATAGGCATCAACAGAAGTCTGGCATCATCCGGCATTTTAACACCCATGCAAGGTTTACCTAAAGTGCTGAATGGCTAGATCAGTTTTCAGTTTTTTCCAGTCCTCCAGGCGACGTTTCCAGATTGTGTGTTGTGACTGTTCTCTCTCAATATCGGTAGACATCAGTCTGACATACAGGTCAGAATAGGCTCTTCTGTTACTCAGCATTGTTTGGTTTATAACCTACAAAAACAATCCCATATTTGTTTTTCTTCTAAATCCATAAAATTCTTTACTAGAACAAGCTAACAGTTAGTGTTGCATGCATGCAAAGTTCTTCCTCTGTTGTTCATAAAATCTTCTAAGCAACATAAACCTTGAAAACAATGAATAGATGTCTTATTTTAACAACTGAAAGTTTTCCCTATAAAAACCAGTGACATGACAGGAAGGACACAAAAACCAGAAAATAATGTGGAAAAAAACTTGACATGCACTCTATTGTGTTGAATGAAGTTTTAGTCAGGTTTGTCATCTCTAAGTTAAGTGATTATCAGGAAAACAAACTAAAACACTGACATGACTGAATGGACCCAGCTTTGTGTCTGGCCTTTAAGGGTAAATTTAACCATTCTAGTTACATTTTCAGTATACACATAAAAAGATTATAAAATTTAACCTTACTTGACCCCAGATCCACAGTATTTAATTTAACCTTTAACTTCCCTGTTCGTAAATTTCCTTGCCCTTACTTTAAATCTCAGTCTACAATTTTAGTCTGATCTTTGACTTACTTAAGTTTGATATTTGACTCATATTCTGGATTCTAAGTTCAAACTTTGAGCTAATTGCCTATGACTCATTTTCTTGGAATCTATATTTACTTTTAACCCACCACAGCTCCTGAACTATATCATCTTTTACTTATTTTAGCCTTCATACTTTAGGTTCCTGGTATGTAAACCTTTGACCTACCTGTGACTCCTGGTCAAGAAACCTATAAAGATCTGGTGGCATCATGTGGGCAATCTTCTCCAGGGACTTGGCATAGTTCACAAATACTGTCTTAATCTGTTCAACAACAAATATGTACATTTTTATTCTAATCTGAATTCTACCCTTCCAAAAATGAGAAATAATGCATTTATAAACAGATAATTGTCCTTTCAGTGTCTTTCTAAGACTTATTTAGTAAAACCATAACATTAACACTGAATTTAAAGGACTTGAACTATTTAATTGAATGTAAAAACACTAAGGAAAATAAAATTTATTTTAAAAATACATATATCTGCATAAAAGAAGTTACAGATAATTTCCACAATGAGTGAAATACTGACCAGATCCATTCGGTCATCTTCTGCCTTGGTCAGCTGATGGTCAAGTTCCTCTATCCATTCTTGCCGAACCTTGGAGTGGCCTTGAACTTCCTCCCAAAGGGACTGAAGGCCATCCAGACTATAGGAGAGTATGTCCTATCAAAATAGACACACATATATTTCCTTAATCAATTAACTTTCAATTATTTGCCAATGTCTACCACAAATACATGTATAGTTATCTATCCAATAAATTGTATCTTTTACCACTGAGAAACATTGTGCAAGAAATGTAAGATTCACTTACCTCATCTGTGCTGATTTTGGCAAGGATTCTCTCTATATCTTTGTCATTATCATGTAGTCTTTCCAGCATGAACTCACTGCATTCTGTGATTCGAGGCTCAAGGTTCTAAAATATTTTACAGAAAGATCATATAACAGATGAAATCAAATGTGAATAGTGTAATGAAAGCCAAAATTTAGGACATTTGAATGTAGTACCTGACTTATGTTTTTAAGCAGGAACTCTAATTTCATTTCATGTCTACAATGAACAACAATGAGATAGCTGACTTGGTTATAGCATGTGCAAACGCGTAGAATATCAAAGTAAAATAGTACATGCTTACAACACAATCAAGACGAAATGGATATCATTCTTTTGTCATCTCCTTTAAAATTTAGTGACCATACTTTAAGGCTTCATTTTTTTCTACTATTATTTATTGGGACATTATTTTGATTCCATTTTGCAGCACAAGATTTCCTCTGGAGAAATGATGACAACAGAATACACTTCATTTCAGTATTAATCATCTTACATCATTGATGACACTGAGTTCCTGGTGCATGTCTTCTACTGCTTCTTCATGTCTGTAAAACACAAGCATGATTTTACATATTTCAGAAAAATACTTCAAAGTATGATCATTTTTCAGGTAATCATGGAATATATCAATTTCATTTTTGTATAGCTTCATAAACTTCCTGTTTACAGTAAAGAATTTAACAGTTTACCTTTGTCTTCTACTGGAGGCAATTCTGTCGATAATGTCTGATCCTACTTTAGTCGGTACTGAAGAAAAAGAAAATATTGTTTTATTGTGATCGTTGACTATTACCTTGAAAAGCAGGATACTCTCCCTTGTAATACTGGTGATGAAGGAAGTGCCATAAATCTACTAGTGCTTGTTGTGTAACAATACAACAAAGGCAAGGGCAGACCACTCTAGAACTACAATCAACGGGACAATAACCAAGAGCAGATAAATCTGCATTCATAGCAACAAGGTTAAGGGGGGATAACCTAAAGATACATTTTACTTTTGAATAGAAGTGGCATATAAGCCATAAATATCACTGTTACCTAGGACACCAACATTACTGAAGAGCACTGGAAGGTACTCACCAAGTTCTCCCATCAATTTGGAGACCAAAGGTAAAAAATAGCTTAGATAGCATCCCTGAGCACATGAGACATTTTATGCTTATGCACAAAAAAATGCTTTTGGTAAGTAGAAATGTTCTATTATTATTATTAGTTTATAATTTGACATACCAACATCTTCAGGCAAACCACTGACTTCTTTTTCAGCAGCAGTTCCATCCATTTCTCTGATTGTTGCATTTACAAATTCTGAATACTGCCTGTAAATTAAAAGAAAATGATTCCATAAATTCACCAAAAACAAAAGGAAAAAAACACACACAAACAAAAAGCAAACAAAGAAAAGTGAACAAAATAAAAAACAAACAAAAAATGAAAACTTACTTGTGTAATACAGGATTTTCAACATAAGGATCATTTGGAAATCCATCTGCCCAAGTACGTTGTCGCTCTGTCAACAGTCCATGTGTAACTTCATCCTTCTTAAGTCTCACCAATGGTATTCCTACATTGGTGCTCTGTCTGTCAAATGTTTTCTGTGTGTCCTCTCTTTTCATTTTTGTCAAAGTCCTTGTAAGCTGGACCTAAAGAAAATATTTCCCAGCAATATCAAATCAAGCAAATTTCTTTTTTATTTCCCTTTTTATATACAAACAATACACACAATAGCACTGGGCTTACAAATTTTGGGACAATTATAGATACCTATAAATATTATATATCATGTAAAACATACGGTATATTTTGGACTATTTTCAGTCATAATGCCTATATTTTTTCTGCATTGAATCGTATTGAAAGTTATCCTGTTGACTACATATACAGTGTAGTCGTAAAGTTTTTGGAACTAGCCCTGTGCAACATACACATAGTACGTGTATGAATTCCAACACCCCAAAGCCAATGTCATTGCCACATGTAATTTGTGCGTTTTACTGAGACATATGAAAGATGAGATATACCCAGTGACTTAAGAAAAACAGAAATACCTGAGCATCGAACATTTGTCGATAGACTTTGCCACTTGGCACAACTCTTACTGGTGGTGCTGTGTCTGCCATTTTCGAGTGTCGATACTGACTTTAAAATTTATAATATTTAAAAAAGTGTGCCTAAACTGGGATAGCCCAGTTGGGCATGGGATTCAACACAGAGGACCGTCGATCATTAGAGTAACAGATGTCAATTCAATATCTTATAATCCTTATATGCAATAGAACCTGCTGGTCGATGTAAACATCGACGCCATATTGCTTGGGAATCACCACAGCAACGTCAGTCAGTATAAATTACAGAACAGTAACACACCCTAAACGGTTCATTAAAAGCCGAATTTCTTTTGTTTCTATGTTCTCAACTTTTATTGCAAAGTATATGTTAGTTTTAAAGTAGAAAGATGATTGCAGACTAAAGCTAAAGTAAAATTAGATGTTTATTACGTCTGTTTCTTTTCACATAATTTCGTTGATTAGTTTGTAAAATGTTTTTACCGGTAGTGCCTGGTTCAACTCGAGTAGTTTACGCCTTTATTCCTTGCTCGTTGAATTGAAGCAGAAAATAATTTGAACGACTTATTCAGGGTAGTAAGCATGACATGAGAATCGCGAAACGGCGAAAGATGGCAACTGATATTGTGCGATTGTTAGGCACTCTGTCATTATCTGATGACCCAATTGAAAAACTAGAAGAGTTGAAGACTGTAGTATTTGCTGTTCACCCGTCCGTTCTTGAAAATCATATTGGTAACCTTTCATTTCAACAGTTGTTTACATTGTTAAACACAGAAAATGGGTAAGTACATAATGTGCAAAAATGAAAGTACGTTTTTTAAGTGATGTAAACACGTGGGGTTATGTATATATCCTGCGTTTCTACGCTAATTAATTTATTGGAAAATGCATAATCATTCCGAGGGTGGCGTATTGATGATTCCATCACATGATGTAGGAGAGCTGATGAAAATTATGAAACGTCAGTCATTTATTTCAAAAAATATCATTAACCTGCTAAGGTCTTTGGATTAAAATATGACTCACATATCCCAAACATAATTTCTTAAGATTGAATATTAATTTTTGTTTAAAGTTAGTTTTTGATTTCATTCATGTGTTCACGTTATTAAACAAGGGGAATAACTCTACATAGCTTATATAGTTGAAAATTAATGATCAGCATTTGCTTATAAAAAGTTATATTTTCCTTTCTTATCATGAATCAATATGTATTTGTAAAATATATAATAATTATGTTTCAAAAATATTCTTCTATTCTTTTATATCCATTATGAAGCATATTTTATTATTTATTTCCTATTCTATATCTGCCATGTATTATTATTATTATCAACCATACTTTTTAATATGATTGTTTGCCAGAAAATGTTGGTGGTATGGTTTGCTTTTATTACACTATGAACAGGAATCATTCCCAGAAATTCAGTGTTCATATTTATGTGACTTCAGAAAATTTATAAGCAAGAAAAATATATTAGGTAGGTCTATAGCTTCAGGGTCATGGCAAAAGTGGTAAAATTATTGGGATGGGAGGGGCAGAACTCATTCAAGGGGATATAGAGCAAATTCAGGCCCCTTGGGATTGGAGGGGAAGGACCCATTTGAAAGGCAATAAAGCAAATTCTGTCAAATTCTTATGTAGGAATGGTAGAATTCTGTAACAATTTGATATGAAGCAAGATTTGTCAGGCTGACCCCCTGACAGAAAGGTGAGACCCAATGGACAGGGCTCTCACACCCCATTTTGGGACTGGGGCCCGGGGCCCTTTGAATTGGGAAAAATAATGGTGTTTTCCTTAGAATTGGGAAAACTTGGGGTCTAAATTGGGAAAAAAGATACTATTTTGCATTGGGAATTCGGCCCCAAATCTAGCAGATCGAGAGCCCTGATGGAGAGATAGATATAGTGTTGCATTCATGGAATTCCTTTCCCTTTAGTTTGGATGAAGGAATTTCAGCCAAACAAAGCTAGGTGAATGATATAGGCCCAATGGGCCTCTTGTTTTTGATTGCATAACATGTGCTACATACACGTATAGTTCAAGTCGTTTTCCTTTGTTTAATAAGGTAATTTCTATGACATGTTACAACAACAAAACCAACAGAACTCAGGTGACTGTTAAGGCCGTTTTCCCTCTTGTTAAAGATGTCATTTATCTACGAGGTAGTTATTATGTCATGTTCAGTGTATATTTTATTTGAAATAAACTTTACTATGGCAGGTACAGTACTTTTGAATCATATTTTTTTCTTTAAAAGTACATTATAGATCAAGAATTATATTGTTTTGATTTATGAAAACTAAACACATACCTATTTCTCTGTCAGTACTTCCTTATGTCTTACCAAATAAATCACTTGCATTCCACACTGATACCTAAACAACATAGATTTTGAAACTTCTCGTTTTGACAGATGTCAGAGTTTTAGCAACAACCATGAAAGGCAATTTTATCATTGACACAATTACATCAAACAATTTAAAGATCCTTAACCTATTACCTTGTAGTATAAATTACCCAATCACAGAGTGGATTTCAATTTATAGAATTTTTTTTCAGCGATCAATTGGAGTTATGCTGTGATATCCTTTCACGTCTACTGACTGCCCTTGGCCCATCAGGAGTCCTCAGTCACTTCAACACAGAACTATTACATGGCCTCTCTCACAAAGCTTCATGTGTTCAGTGTCTTTGTCTCCAGCAGGTAACAACCTTTCTCACAACAAAGCTTCATGTGTTCAGTGTCTTTGTCCTCATCAGGTAATGGCCTCTCTCACAAAGCTTCATGTGTTCAGTGTCTTTTTCCTCATCAGGTAATGACCTCTCTCACAACGCTTCATGTGTTCAGTGTCTTTGTCCTCATCAGATAATGGCCTCTCTCACAAAGCTTCATGTGTTCAGTGTCTTTGTCCTCATCAGGTAATGGCCTCTCTCACAAAGCATCATGTGTTCAGTGTCTTTGTCCTCATCAGGTAATGGCCTCTCTCACAAATCTTCATGTGTTCAGTGTCTTTGTCCTCATCAGGTAATGGCCTCTCTCACAAAGCTTCATGTGTTCAGTGTCTTTTTCTCTCAAATCTTCATGTGTTCAGTGTCTTTTTCCTCAAGGTAATGACCTCTCTCACAACGCTTCATGTGTTGTGTTCAGTGTCTCTCTGTCAAAGCTTCATGTGTTCAGTGTCTTTGTCCTAATGGCCTCTCTCACAAAGCATCACATGTTCATCAGGTAAGCCTCTCTCACAACGTCATGTGTTTGTCTCATCAGGTAATGGCCTCTCTCACAAAGCTTCATGTGTTCAGTGTCTTTTTCCTCATCAAGTAATGACCTCTCTCACAACGCTTCATGTGTTCAGTGTCTTTGTCCTCATCAGGTAATGGCCTCTCTCACAAAGCTTCACATGTTCAGTGTCTTTGTCTCCAGCAGGTAACGGCCTCTCACAAAGCTTCGTGTGTTTAGGTTTTTGCAGCATTTTTCTTAGACTGAGATATATGACACTTAGTGCATTGGAAACATGAAAGCAACCTGTAACATATGCCTATTGATTTATAAGGCTTTCAAAATAAAATAATGTTTTTTATTGATTGTTTAATTAGATACCAAATTATATTGATATACTGTATTAACCATGACCAAGTGGACTAATTTGCAAGCAATTCTAAGGATCATAATTGTGTATATAGTTACAGTTTGTTGGAGAGGATAGCCAGGCTTTGGAGGAATTGGTACGACAAGATGATATTTTACACCAGGCCATCCAACTGATTGGATGCGACAGCTTAAATGTCTCTCAGAAGGCCAATAATGTCGTCTCCTGTCTTGGTAACAGCAGTCAACTTTATATGTTAAATTAATGTTTTTTAGAGAGAACTTATCTATCTCTAGTGGTAGGTAGATGCTATTGCGTGTGTCATATAAAATTCAGTATGAAAGATAAAAGGATGGTTGCCATTATGAGCAAAATTCCATCTCAAAATAGAACACTCCATAATATACTTATATTTAAGGTATAAAGGTAATTTAGTTTATGAAGTGTTTTGGAGATGTACATCCTAGTAAAGTAAGACAATGCTATATATATTGAATGCCTTATGTGATGATTCATGACAGCGGGTATAATAGGTAAAAGATTAACTGATATGAAAAACTTTTTTATTTTAATTTCAAAATTACAAACAATTCATATAACAAGTCAGTTTGTGATTCTTCAGAAAATTTACTTCCAGTCTTTAATGTCTTAAAAAAGATATCAACTGTTATCAAATATTACATTCCAGAAAATATCACATCTCTTCCGAAAAATGAAACATTCTATTGAGCAATTTTCGGTGGACTTCATCTATAGCAAGTCATATAAGATTTGAATACACAGTTCCACAATCCTTACAAAAAGTTACAATCTACCTCAAATTGGAATGAAAAACAGGACCTTTTACCAAGTCATTATTGAGCAAAATTGAAGCAATGGTCAACAATGGTGGCATGAAAATTTTAACTGTTATCTATTTTTGTAATCATTATTACTTTGAAAGTACAGGATGGATCTTTCTTAAATTTGGTATGTAGGTTCCTCTTTGTCCCTAGTTGTGCCCATTTGATTTTGATACAGATTAGAAAAACAAAATGTCTGACAGGCAACTGTCTTGGATTTTGCAGTTTAAGATTTCATGATCGCTATTTCTTTGAGGAAATTTTAAGAAAGGATAAAAAGGTAGCAAAAAGATAAAATTTTGAAAGAGCATGTAAAGGTTAAACAATAGTTTGTGCCAAGATTCCTTTGGGATCTCTTGTTATGATTTCAAATCTAACAGAAAGATTGAACTGAACAGCTTTATTTTGTTAAAGGTCATAGCGCCTCCGGTCTAACTGCACTGTACACTTCTACACTACTACAGACATTACAACAGGTGATGGATCGTAATGAAACTGTCCGCTTCAGAGTGTATGAGGTGAGTGGTATACTGACAAAATCCAAAATTCCCCCGAAAAACACCGTAATATGAATACAGAAAGTGAAAGAAATCATTCCTTGTTTCTTGCTTCTTTCCAAAGTGGATTTGTCCAATAATACCCAGTACATACTTGTTAGGGTGCAAAGTGAGTGTTAAATGTGATGTAAGAACTGGGATGGGATTGGTTGCTGTGTTACTAATGTCTCCAACTATAGGAATGTAATTAACATATCTACATTAAATTTTCCATTGTGTATTATGGAAGTACAGTGACACAAAAAAGGGGATATAATGAACTGTCCTGAAGTTTGATAAATATCTTATTGTTTGCCAGCTCCTGGTGAAGATCTGTCAGTTGTCTGTGGTGGCACTCGAGTATACACATGAAAGTGGCATGCTCCAACAGCTGCTGAATGAGGTACACAAGGACGACATCCTGCTCCAGCTCAACTGTATAGAATTGTTATCTGATCTTGCCATGTCTGAGCACTGCCTTGTCTTCCTTGACCAGCAAGGAATCATCAGGAGACTGGACGACATGATCGCTTCCGTCGATACAGACCCAATGGCTGGTCTTCTGCTCCCTGGTATTATTTATATCACTTTTTAATTTATAGATTTTATTTCTGCTTTCAGACATATAAGTGTATTTTGATTTTGAAAATGATTCCTAGATAAGGAGACAGATCATATCAGATCAAAAAGGAAAGCAGGACATTTTACCATAATGAAGAAAAATATATCTGATTTTTTTTCTTTCTTTCCCAGGATATTTGTCAAGAAATCTGTATTGGATGTAATATCTGTAAACCAAGAAAATTGGTTCTGTTCTATATTTACCCTTTAAGTAAGATCTATAGTAGATGTATAGACATATCTGAGTAATTAACATAGTGATGCCTCTATCCTGGTGGCCATTGTCTTCAGGCAGATACGACATTTAAAACATTATCAAGTGTTTGGCTTTAGAAACAGCTGCTGCACCTGGAATGGTTTTTGAAACAGCAACCTACCATGATACTGTATGAGATATGTGGTATTTTCAGGTCTTATCAAGTTCTTTGGAGGCATGGCCAGGTTCCATCCAAAGGAGGTGTGTTCAGAGAAAAGTATCTTCATGAACACAGTATTGGACAACACCAGAAACCCAGCCTTGAGCAACATGGCAATTCAGACAGTGGGTTTCATTGGGAGTACGCCTGAGGGGAAGGTGGCTCTTGACAAATGGGGTGAGTTCTAAGTTTAGTTATATATACTAACTGTGCTAACATGCCTGGGCACTTAATACCATGGTATTCATTTCTTTTCCATATAAAGTGTACAGAACTTAGTCTTAGATGTGAAACTAGACAATCTCTAATGGCAAACCAATTTTATAAAAATCAATAACATAGTCTTTTACATCATCAAAAACCAACGAGGCTCAGTTCTTCATGTTTGACTCAAATGACAAGAGCAGAGTCACATTGGTTGTTGAGGATGAGTCTCTTATTTCAGGTCGTCTGTTAATACAGGTGCAGTTACATTGTAATTAGTATGAAAATGACCAAGGTGATATTTTAAAAAAATAGTCTTAAAATACAACTGATTTGTAAAGACTGGACATCGTAATTGATATGTTTTTAAATTTTCTCTCGGTGTATTTGAATGTCGCAGATATATCTTGTGAGTCTCATGCACATGATTACCTAGTATTCCTATAAGATGCTTTTTGCTGATTTTTTCAACCTTCATTTTGTTGATTTACAACTGATTTACAGTTGATTTTTGTTGATATTTTCTCTGAATCTCCATTCATGTTGCGGAAAACCCGGCAGATAGTTTTAAAGTGAAATAAATTGATGTTTTTGCAGGTGGAAAGCTGTTGTCATCCGTGTCAGATATCGCAGCTGTACTAAGGAATGGTACAACAGAGCTGAAGATCAATGCCTTACAGGCTGTGGAGAGCCTGCTGACACTGAGGGTTTGTGTCGGAGGATAGTTAATATGAGATGATAAGGACATTCAAAATAGAAATAATATTCACCCTTATCACATTATGTAACGTTATGTCACAAGTTCTTAATGGTTATCTAAGCAAGTTGCAATTTTTTGTATAAAATAAAATAATCCAATAAGAAATGAAAAGACTCGCTAAGATGAAAAATTGTTCAACTTGTTTCACATATCAGATGGAAACTCATGTAAGATTCTATATGTACTGTTATCACAATATAATGACAATGTATAACAATGAACTGAATAACTACTACTGAGTGCAATAAAGCTTGGTTATCACACCTGCTCATTGTTAAAGTCTCCAAATATGTTGTATTTCTAAGATGTTTTGGTATAATCTCCAACAGGTTGAGGATCAGACAACAGAGCTACTGATGCTGACAGAAAAGTGGTTTAACCTTCTAAGCCATGAACCACTTCGAACATTATTGGAGATTGTTCAGCAACCATTCACAGATCTCCGCTGTGCAGCTTATCAGGTTTTCATTGCTATGGCAACACAACAGTGGGCACAAGAATGTATGAACAAGTTTCCAGGATTTACAGAGTTCCTTTTAGACAGACTCACAGAGTCCACAAAGGAAGGCAAGGACGGCAAATACACACTAGTCAAAACCCTTGCTGAATCTCCGTTTGCTGCCAACAGTTTTGGAAATCCCTTTTATGTGAAGTTAAAGGCTTATTGTGTTCAAGGACCGTACTTTATTCGAGCCCAGGCTGAAGTGGCTATGGAGGGAGAATAGCTTTCTCTTCATGTTTCATCATATTATGTTGTAGATATAATCTATAGGTATTATCTACACAATGAGTATAGAACACTTTCAAATAACATTTCCACATTGCAGTATTTTCCAACATAAATTCATCTATCATAATGTCACTTTCATTTTTATTTAGGCATATCTTTTTCAAGATAAGCATATTGAAGACTTTGTGTACTAATCTTAGATATGCTTAAAACATTAATATCTATTTGTCAAGGTATATTGGTATGGTGGAAGAGTATGTTATATGCAAATACAATGTACAGTATAATTATTATGTTTTTTGAGCGATAAAGTTTGATTACATTACCAAAAGTACAATGTTCATGAAAATGTACAGTAAGGGGATCATCGTTCATCTGTTACCAAAAGCTGTGGTCTTCCTGGAGAGGTCTGGATACTGAATACTAGAAGCCATATTTGCCTAAAGTCATATCTTTATGCTTGTAAAAGTACTTACATAGCCAATAATCTACTGTGCTAATTTATTACATCTGTCCTGTTGTGCCATGAAAACAGACTGTCTGAATTCATCTGATGAGAAGTCTGCCCCATGCTTGGTATTAAGTCTACTCATATTTATTGCTATGCTAGAGAACTATCAGCAAAGGCCCTTTCACGGACTTGAAATCTGATCAAACTCCCATTTTTAGTTAAAAGTAATGTATTGCCTGTCCATGTCTCCCTCCCTCTACCCCCAATCCCAGGTGAATTGCAGGATATCTGCAATACTTGCAGTTTCATTATTACGCAATGTCATTTCATCATTGAAAACTTTTTCACACAGTAACATCCTGCTATGGGCATTTATCAGGAAACAAACCGGGAATCAGGTTTATTTTTCATAGTATAATACTTCTTCTGAAACTTGTCTTTCAGTAGATTTCCATCATTTTAAGAATGTTACCTGAGGCATTTTTATAAGAATATGTTTCCCCCAACTCCCGTCTTGTTACAGAATAAATATAGTGTATACTGTTAACAGATTTTAATTGCAGTTATCTCCCTTGTCACATATGTATTCTGGAAAAAATACATTAACCATGTTTGTTATTGATGAAGTCATTGTTTCCCAATATCCTGAATGAAAGTGCAAAACCCCCTATGGTTACAAAATCTTAAGACTTGTACCCCAGTTTTTAAGGACTCTCCTACATGAACTGCACCCTCAGTTTCAATATTCATTGGGGAACACTGTGTGACAAGTATCAAGTTTCATGGTGAACACTCAAGTGATACTAAATGTTTAAGATTGGTGAAATAATTAAAAAACAATGAAAAGAAAGTGATTCGATACAGAATATTTTATTAGAATGAAAATTTAGACCTTGTGTAACATAGTTCTATTGAGTTCCTTTAATAAAGGTGATGAATTTTACTTATTTCTTTTTTTTGACTATGATAGAAATTTTCTTTTTTTTGACTATGATAGAAATTTTCTTTTCTATCATTCAAGTTCTAAGTAATACATGAATTTGACTTCAAATTCAGATAATAATGAATGTATACAGAGTATATAAAGTAATGTAAGAGTTCAACAAAATATATGTCTTTGCCTTTTATATGTTTGATGTGTTGACACAACTGATAACTTAATCATAATATATTGATTTTGAATTCATATTGTAATATGTTTTTGAACATTTTAAAACATGTTCCAAATATAAAATCATGATATAGTGCAGTATTACGTATCTACCAGGTAAATGGATGGAGACAGACATTCTTCTTAATTTTGTGAGATACAGCCCATTCTTAACCTTAATGTGTTTGAGAGATTGATCCTGTTAAAATGTTGGAGAAAGTGACCTTATTCAATTGTGTGTGATGGTACATAAGCCTTTTTTACCTCCATGTCTGAGAAAGTTACTTCGTCAGATTGTGACCCTTTTTACCTATGTTTCTGAGAAAGTTACCGTGTCAGATTGTGCGAGATTGTGACCCTTTTTACCTATGTTTCTGAGAAATTTACCGTGTCAGATTGTGCGAGATTGTGACCCTTTTTACCTATATTACTGAGAAAGTTACCGTGTCAGATTGTGCGAGATTGTGACCCTTTTTACCTATGTTTCTGAGAAAGTTACTGTGTCAGATTGTGCGAGATTGTGACCCTTTTTACCTATGCTTCTGGGAAAGTTACCGCGTCAGATTGTGCGAGATTGTGACCCTTTTTACCTATGTTTCTGAGAAAGTTACCGTGTCAGATTGTGACCCTTTTTACCTATGTTTCTGAGAAAGTTACCGTTGTGTCAGATTGTGTTTGCGAGATGTGACCCTTTTTACCTATGTTTCTGAGAAAGTTACTGTGTCAGATTGTGCGAGATTGTGACCCTTTTTACCTATGCTTCTGGGAAAGTTACCGCGTCAGATTGTGCGAGATTGTGACCCTTTTTACCTATGTTTCTGAGAAAGTTACCGTGTCAGATTGTGCGAGATTGTGACCCTTTTTACCTATGTTTCTGAGAAAGTTACTGTGTCAGATTGTGCGAGATTGTGATCTTTTTACCTATGTTTCTGAGAAAGTTACCGTGTCAGATTGTGCGAGATTGTGACCCTTTTTACCTATGTTTCTGAGAAAGTTACCGTGTCAGATTGTGCGAGATTGTGACCCTTTTTACCTATGTTTCTGAGAAAGTTACCGTGTCAGATTGTGCGAGATTGTGATCTTTTTACCTATGTTTCTGAGAAAGTTACCGTGTCAGATTGTGCGAGATTGTGATCTTTTTACCTATGTTTCTGAGAAAGTTACCGTGTCAGATTGTGCGAGATTGTGATCTTTTTACCTATGTTTCTGAGAAAGTTACCGTGTCAGATTGTGCTAGATTGTGATCTTTTTACCTATGTTTCTGAGAAAGTTACCGTGTCAGATTGTGCGAGATTGTGACCCTTTTTACCTATGTTTCTGAGAAAGTTACCGTGTCAGATTGTGCGAGATTGTGATCTTTTTACCTATGTTTCTGAGAAAGTTACCGTGTCAGATTGTGCGAGATTGTGATCTTTTTACCTATGTTTCTGAGAAAGTTACCGTGTCAGATTGTGCGAGATTGTGACCCTTTTTACCTATGTTTCTGAGAAAGTTACCGTGTCAGATTGTGCGAGATTGTGATCTTTTTACCTATGTTTCTGAGAAAGTTACCGTGTCAGATTGTGCGAGATTGTGACCCTTTTTACCTATGTTTCTGAGAAAGTTACCGTGTCAGATTGTGCGAGATTGTGATCTTTTTACCTATGTTTCTGAGAAAGTTACCGTGTCAGATTGTGCGAGATTGTGATCTTTTTACCTATGTTTCTGAGAAAGTTACCGTGTCAGATTGTGCGAGATTGTGATCTTTTTACCTATGTTTCTGAGAAAGTTACCGTGTCAGATTGTGCGAGATTGTGATCTTTTTACCTATGTTTCTGAGAAAGTTACCGTGTCAGATTGTGCGAGATTGTGATCTTTTTACCTATGTTTCTGAGAAAGTTACCGTGTCAGATTGTGCGAGATTGTGATCTTTTTACCTATATTACTGAGAAAGTTACCGTGTCAGATTGTGCGAGATTGTGATCTTTTTACCTATGTTTCTGAGAAAGTTACCGCGTCAGATTGTGCGAGATTGTGATCTTTTTACCTATGTTTCTGAGAAAGTTACCGTGTCAGATTGTGCGAGATTGTGATCTTTTTACCTATGTTTCTGAGAAAGAAATTGTGCGAGATTGTGATCTTTATACCATGTTTCTGAGAAATTGTGCGAGATTGTGATTGTGCGAGATTGTGACCCTTTTTACCTGTTACTGAGAAAGTTACCGTGTCAGATTGTGCGAGATTGTGACCCTTTTTACCTATGTTTCTGAGAAAGTTACTGCGTCAGATTGTGCGAGATTGTGACCCTTTTTACAAAAGTTTCTGAAAAAGTCATCTTTTTCATTTTTGCGAGATGTATCACACCAAGTGGAAAATTCCTATTCTTAGAATTAGGAACACCTACATATCAATGCAAGTGATCAAACTAAAGTTGGTGTATTTTAGCTAGAAGACTACTCAGTATTCTTAGTTGTGTGTCGGTGTATGTTAAATTTTAAGAATTTTCATGAATGAATTTGTTCATTACAACATATGAAATTGCTTATTTCAACACTTACTCATATTATAAAACGTTACATTTAAGTAAATTTGAAAAGTAATTTTGTCAAACAGCTGTTTTTACGCAACTGCCAAATACAGCAAATATACGTCATGTATGTGACAAGTGTATTCCAGCACCAATTGCAGGATGAAAGTTAACATTTGATGAAGACTGTAATTCACTCATTTGTTTAACTACGATACAGTAATGACATTTCCAATAGCATTGCCCCACAAGTATCACTCTAATCACTCTAACCTCTACAAACTCCAGAATGTACAGCCTTTTTTGGATTTAGTTAATTATCTTCTGCTACTCCTCAAGAACTTGAAGCATGGAGTGGATACTGAAAATTTGTATTGCTGCAGTATAAAGAAGTGATGAGATGATAATCGGATATAATCAGTTGTCTAATCTAAGCTCATCTGATGCGATGATTGATAGTAATTCCTCATAATTGATCATGGCTACCTTAATATCATCTTCTTTTTAAGCAAATCAAAATTGATTTTGAAACTGATTTCCAATAACTAGTATGAAAGAATAGGAAAAACACACATTCCAGTCCTGTGCCCTGACCAGGAATCGAGCCCAGGTCTCCATCATGATAATTGATTGGTTCTACAACCAGTCAAAAAGGCATGCTTTGTCAGCTTCCAAGTTACATAGACCGTATTTAACACTGTGCACAATACACACTGACATGCTCCTTTTACACTACTCTCCATATTTTTTTTTAGATTTCTGAAATCTCAACCCATGAATGTAAATAATGCAACCGATGGGATTTTGTAATGTGAAAGAACAGGGGTATGACATTTGTGTGGCCCGCAAAGGAATAGGACCCAGGTTTTCAACCTGATAATCGACAGTCTCTTCCAGAGCAGCCAAAGAAGCATACTTATCAGATGAGTGACAGAAACCGTATTTCACACTATGTACAATATACACTGACCTTTTACACTGACACTAGTATAGAATACATGGTGAACTGTACAAAATGCAAATTCGACACCACCGTGTAGTTAACATATGCACACTCAACAATGAATCTACAGGATGAAATTTACAATTTCTGTATCTTCTTGACATCGGTTCTGGACCGTTATTTATTTAAGACCACTTGTCAAGGCGTACCACATGCACTATTGATCTGCATGACCTCGCAACCAGATAATTTTTGGTTGCTGTAACATGTCAAGTTTCCAGAAAGAATGAAAAATTGTTCTGAGTAAATATTTGATTGACAAATTTGTGGATTTTTTCTTAATGCACAATTTTACACGTCGAACATCTACCAGATATGATGAAATAACAATCAATCCATCCTTGGACGCCAATGTTTTGTTGTCTGTCAAGTGATTGAAAATCAATCAGGAATAATAGGCCACACCTCCTTGCAATTTTTTGACTACGAAAGTCCAAACATGCACATCTTGTATTGGAAAAGTGGTGATTTGTAAATGATCTCTTTTGATGTCTCATTTCCGATTTCAATCGAGTAGCTAATTGTAGACTGACCAATGAAAAATTAATTTCTTTTAAATAGTTTGTGTTATAAAAAAGAACTTGGCCAGGAAATATAGTCCATTTGAGAAAAACAAACAAAACAAAAAAATAAAAACATCAATCGAACCCTTCTGAAAAGGTGCACACATTAACAGATATCCACCATTTTCGCACCATTATTATTATTATTATTATTTATTTTTTTGTCATTACTGTCATTCCTATTCTGATGATGATTTTATGTAATACATGTGTACTTCTGGGTCACTGTAAGCTTTCTTAAGCGTCTCGTGAGATTAAGAGATGTGATCAGAAGCGGGAAGTGCCGTTGCATGTCCGATACACATGTCGATCATTTCAGATGAGCGAATTTGAAATCAAAACTGTTTCTTGGGAAGATACTGGTGTTTCACCAATCGTTTTTTTAAAATAAATATTACAGTACGGACACATTTGAATTATTTTTTGTATTTGTTTGGTTGCAATCTGTTGACATAGTGTAGCTAGCAAGAAATGGTTCTTAGTCCTAAACTAATGCGGAAGTGACTTCCAATGACCAGAGGGCCGTTATATTTATAAACAGCAGGAATCATCATTTTTCACTCATGTGACTGAGTATTCACACTTCTAAATAGACCCAGAGAAATAATTTATTGCATCAAAATGAATAAAATGTGTAACCATTTCTTACGAGTCTGTATTCAACATCTTCAGTATCGAAATGTGAATGTTTGAATTTTCCACTTCTTAAAATATCATGAGGCCAATTACGCATGCGTCGAAAAGACTAAATATCAACATCCGATTGGCATCTGAGGCAGGCGGTGAAATGCGGTGGTGAGACAGATTACCTGCTATGGCAGGACTCCTCGGTTTCCTAGCACAAGTCATGTCCGAGATGTGGGCGCCGGTGGAGGAGCTTAACGGCAGGAGGAGGATTTGGGGGCGAGTAACCAGGTAAAATGATATATGTCTCACCTGTACTTTGAAAAAAGGTCTTACATGTGGTCATCTCTGAGTTAACCTTATGATCTCTTTTGGACGTGCCGATCAGTTATTGACTGTTAAGAGATTGGTGTTAGCTTTATTGTAACTGTAGGGTTAGTACTGTTTTAACAAAAGTCGTCATCTTTTCTCTTTTCCTCTTTTATTAATTGTAAAAATTAATCTGAGGTCGCTGTTGTAAAATAGTTTCGGTTTCGTTTGGGATTTTCATTTCCACTTGTAGAATTTCCCTATTTTCATCATTCCATATTAAATATATATTTACTTTTCTGGTGATAAACATTCATATAGATATCGATTCATGTAAAAGGCCTACAAAAAACTGATACATTTGATCTGGTCTATAGCATGGTTTGCGTTACTTACGTAATTGTATTACATACATTTATAAAGTATTTGCGTAAATCATCATATAAGAAACGAAGATGTTCGGAAAATAGCTTGATATTGAATTAATTAAATTAAAAATATTAACATTGAAATCTTAAAATTGTAGATTAAGAATTGAAGACAATAAGTAGCATTAATAGCATCATAAAATGCAAAGCATTTTAATTATATAACATGAAAGTGATACAGACAACAGGAGGCTCGACCAGTCATGGATAACAGCTGACAATCGATCATGTTAGCATATGTTATATGCTATCAGCTTATGTATTAATACATGTAGTTATATTGCCTATTTTTCATATATTTATATATATATATATATATATATATATTTTAGGAACATGTTTAAAAAGGATATTCACATTATTCCTCAAAATTTTCACATAAAAACATTGTTTTGTTATCGGAAAATAATGAATTAATCAAATATATATTCAAATCCAATTTTCACATGCTTACACTAGCCTCATCATGAGTGTATTGACAAACAAATCTAGGCTATCTTTTTGTTGTTTATAATACAACATTTAATGAAATAAAAATGTGGACTGACAGCCAGACGTAATACTATTAAGTGTAACATCAGGCATAGTTCAGACTTAATAAACATCATACATCTACTTTGAATTGGTAATGACTATCTATCTGCAATTTTATTTTTTATCTTGGTCACGGATGATAATCAGAATTCCTCCCTATATAAAACCGACAGATTCTACTGATCCCAGTAACAGTCAGCATTCAGGCAATGTTTTATATAGTTTACAACACTGCAATAGTTATAACTCATATGTGGATGGAAAGATAAATCATTTTCCTACTAATTTGCATATGTGTTAAAGCAATTAAATGCTGTACGCCGAGTATTTCCAGTCATTTTTCCAAACAACTTTACTTTCCAGCATATTAAAAGTGGCCACCACTATGTGGAAACATTGATTACTCTTTTTAATGTGCACTGTGTTTCTAGTCATTGTGTTTTTAAAAGTGTATTTATACAGATCATAAATGTTAAAAAATGCACTTGAAGAGGTGGCAAACACATAAAATATACATTTGTATTAGACAATTTTATTCAACTTCTTGAACAAGTGTTTGGAATTCAGCAGTGGAGCCAGTGTGAAGGCATTTGACATGTCTGATGAGTTTTTTCAGAGTTATGCCATTTTATTGACAGATATTCAAACTTGGTAATCTTAATCACCAGGACATGAACTATTTTTTCGCTGAATGGCAGTTGCATTTGACAGTATTTGGAAGATAAATGCTTGTTTTATATAACAATCTTTTAAGGAGCTATGCCCTTTGATTTTTAAGCAGCTTTTAATTTATACACAGAACTCTACCCTTATTTTTGTTCACCAATTTTTGTGAAAATTTGTTGGATTTATATGCATCACATCAAATAGTGTATTCGACAACAGATTATTATTTAACATTTCTGCAGAAGAGTTATGCCCCTTGTTTTTTTCTTTTTTTTTTTTCAATATTTTCATCTTGTCCCAATATCTCTTTCCTCAGTTTTCAGCCAATTTTTTAGTCTTGAAAACCACATTATGTGATGTGTTCTCATTAACAGCACATATAAATTCAACAATATTTTAAAAAGTTATTCTCCTTTGTTCTTTTCAGTATCTTAATCTTGTTCAGATTTCTTTCAGTTTTTGAATTAACAGATTAAGGTCTACAATAAGATGAGGATATCCGAACAACATTGTATCCAAATGAAGGGAAAATTTAGATCAAAATATTCCTTTAGTTGGGATAAAGCTGACACTACAAAAAGTAGTGAAAGACATTTATGCAAGGATTACCATAAATACACATAGCATTATTTAAATTTACTAGTGAGGTTAATTGAAACTAAACAGACGACTCAAGGTTAAGGAAGCTGGTAGTTTTGTAAACAGTTTTTGGGCACCAATGAGGAATTTGCAGTACATATTTTGTTTCAGAATTTCTATATTTCAAAATTATATACCTTGGTCCCACTTCAGTCCAAAAGTACAGAAATGTATCAGTATTATCAAAATGACTTAAACATTGGTGTCTGTTGTTTTTTATTAATGATAAGATGTATGACATAATATGCCCTGGTAAAATACTAACCGAAGTATACCACTCGGCTAGAAAGAACTTCTCTTTAGCTGGATTAGTTGATCATCAGACTAGTAAGCCAGGGGTACCGGGTTCGATTCCTAGCGGAGGCATTGAAATAAATAATGATATTAATACATATATTATAATGACAAATTAATATTATTGTGTATTCCTTATGTTAAGTTAACAATTAAAATATTTGCCTTTATTTACGGTACTTATGCATAGATGCTTAATTAGATCACAGACTTATATTAAGTGTTTCATTAATCAGAGTTTTAAAGAAAATATAAATGAATTATTAGAATCAATTTTTTCCCATATACATGCAATAAGGACAAGTTATGATTCAGCATCATGGTTTAATTAAATTATCTCGGTCAACTTTGATGTGAAATTTGTGTATAGGTAGATATCACTAAACACACTTGTGTCATATGCTCTCGCAGCAAGATGCTTAATATACATATCAAAGTGATGTCAGCAGGTGGGTTAGGGGTAACCTGGACTTGAAGTTAGTCAGTGGATTGGTGTAGGTTATGCTTCTTTTGAGTTTCCATTTAAGGACCAGTCAATGAATAAAATGCGGAAGTGCAATCAGATGGTTCATTAATGCATTACTTACCTTTGTGAGACTTGAACGGAGAGTTCTCTCCTTGCAAAATTCCTAAATTTGGTTAGTATTAACTTAATAAAACCACAGGATTGTGTAAAGTATAAAAATAAGAAAATGATCTCCTCCACACATCTAATTAATGCCAAAGTTTACGATGAATTCTGTTACAAATACTACATACTTATTCACATTGTTTCCAGATTTTATAACTGCAGATTAAAATACACAGGTTCATTTTGAGTACAGATATTTGTATTGAAGTATTAGTTCCAATAGTATATCTGCATTTGTAAAGAAATAAGCAGCCTGTGCACTTTGTTTGATTTTACTGAATTTTTCATTAGTTGTCGGTTTGTGTAGTATAAATTAAAGATTGGTCATAATATAAAAGTATAATACAGTCACTAGATTCACAAATTTTGAAAACGTATATTAATCTAGATAGCATCTGCTTGTGTGTTTAGACACCGTCATACAGTACATCGTTGGTCTGCTCAAAAGGGGAAAAAAAACCAATATTGAAAAGGAAAAAAGTCACTTCTCTATGTATGGAGCACTTTAAATGTAACCTACAGAAGTAAGTGTCAATGGAATATATCACATAAGTAGTTAAAAAGCTCACATATCGAACACATGACAGAAGCTTCCTGGTATGTATCTATAGGCTGTTTCAATAACATTATACTTGTGACGTCACAAGGGATACCCATATGGAGGCGATCACCATTGAGTCAAAGGGGTGCATTCCAGATCAATCACAATATCTAAGATATGGAACTTTCCTGGTCTTTTATTGTATAATATGAAGTATTTTATAACTGAATTCAGCAAATCACTCAGGGTACGCTTTAATTTATAATTAAAACATGGTGTATTCTTGATAATTTGATTTGTTATCACCATTTCAATATATATATTCTTTTTTGGGCATGGGATAGGCATTTATTGTATCGCACTGCGGTGCTCAATAAACACAGATTTTAGTAGTTTATGCATACAAATGATCACTTTTATGAAGTACATCTGACAAGGTGATGAAGTAGTATGATACGTCATGTATGTTTGTATTTGGTATCACTGTGTACATTTAGATCTTCAATTAAAGTGCACCTGACTAAAGAATGAAGGTGCTCAATATGACCATTGTATATGTTTTTAGATTTTCAAATAGTTTATTGGTTTTAAATATTTCTATGTTAAGGTATTGACAGTGGCATGTTAGTTGAAATTAAATTAGAGTTTGTCTTAGCTGTTTAATGTTTTGAACAAGAGAAGAATACATGTTCTATCATCTCAACTTACCAAGGAACCGAATGTTTGATTTTTTTTTTGCAGGGATGATATTGAATGAATGATATGCAATGTTTGCTATCTATGAGGTCACAATGTTATGTACCTATGACGTCACAATGTTTACCTAACAATGGTTACTACAGATGTATATTGAACTGTACATTAGTCCTGATAAAAGGATTTATCTACTAATGCTGTCCTAATGGTGATCACCAATAGTCATTAACTCCTGAATTAAGACCTATTATAGCTTTGGATGACGGAGAGCCTTTATCATGTAGATAAAGAAGATAAGGTAACACGATACAGAAAGTTTGACAACATGATATATATAAATACTTACAAGATAACATTACCTTATTATTCACAACAACATTTAACATACAGAATCAACATTAGATGTACACAAATTCAAACAAAAACGGTTTCGGATGTTTCTGTCTCGTCTGTTCTAGGAATGATTTTGGATGCATTGTCACAATGTGTTAAACGTTTAATATATATCTAAATTGATTCACCAATAATGAAGATCAACAACAAAGCATAATTG